CCATGTGTCCTATCTGCACTAGGAATGCACCCGATGTATCTGATACTGGTACCTGAGATTGATACCGGTACTGAAAAATTTGCAGGATCGAATGTTGGCTCTCAAAATCCTATCCTAGTTGGAGATATAAATTGATGTAATAAGATATTTACTGGTCGCAGTCGGCTCAGAATGTCTCAGAATCGCTGAACTTGTATTCCTACAAAGCTGTTCTGACGTTAGCTCAGAAATAAATAACAGCTTCTGGTCCCGGTTGATATAGGGAAGGCAGACACTTCATAAAAGTCAGTATCTGAACTAAAAAAGCTGGATCTGTGCATCTCTAATCTGCATGTTAAGGCACTGACAACCCAGATTCAGTTAATTGTACGATATCCAAGTCTAACAATACAATTTTGTCATGGTATGAATATCACGGTACGATATTTATTGCGATATCGTGGGAAAGCTCACAATTAGAGATGTAACAATATCCAATAATACAACAACAACAATAATAATAATAGCCTTGACAAGACTTAATCCAAAGAACTAAGACCTGAAAGTGCTTAGAACTGTTATTTCTTCTTGTAATCTACACTGAAATGGAGCAAAGGATCATGGTCTATGTAGTTCCCTCTGTCTTTTTTTTTTTTTTAGCTATTGCTGCACCATAACTCACATAAGCAAAGAGACTTGTAATTTGATATACTGTGTGTGTGGTATTGTATATTGTGTGTACGATATTATTGTGAGAACTTTGACGATACGATATCACGATTAGGGATGGGCATTCGATGAAATTTTCTTAATCGATTGTCGGAAGAATTAACGATCGATTATCGATTAATCATTAACGTTTTTATATTAAAATGATCATCATTATTATTACTATCTGCACTACTAATCTGTATAAATAAATTTAACTTTACGACATATAAACCGTAACGACTCTAGAGCCACTTCAATCCGTTTGACATTATAATGTTTTATAATTCAGTTTTGCGCAACTCTCACAGAAACTAAACTTAAAACCACATCTCTAATTTGCATAAATTAAGCGAAGATAAAACTACAGCTCTTGTCGCGCTGATGCGGTCAATTTCTGTTGGATTAAAAGACATGACTCAGTGGAATACAGGTTAGTGTGACCATATTTGCGTTTGTCAAAACCAGGACACCGTACGGGGGGGTGGGAGGTGGGGACTCGTCATCGACATTGCGCGACTCTCACCTGGTAAAGCTTTTTCCCACTGGACACCGAAACATGTGCTGCTTTGTACACTGTGCACAAGGACTCCCACTTGTCCCGAACGCAACGGAAAGCGTGGAATTTCTTGTACAAATCATTGTTAAATACACATTTGTGCTTCGGTACATTGCAGACTGACCGAAAGTTTGTGTCTTCGCTCCTTCTGAGTGCAGAGAGACACATGTACGGACCCCTGTTTGGTCCCTACGCTACGCACAGCAACCTACATTCGGTTTGTCGATTAAAATTAACATAATCGATGAAATTCTTAATGATCAATTATCGATTAATCATGCCCATCCCTAATCACGATATTTCGGTTATTGTTACATCCCAAATTAATCCTAATCTCAAAGATGTATTCAGTTTTATTAATGCTGATGTTGCAATTCTGTGTGCCAAAATACACAAAATAATGTATTATTACCTGGTCCCCGAAGGGTTGACCAGGTTTTGTATTCACCCTGTGTGTCTGTGTGTCTGTCCAACCGCGATAATTATGCCATTTATGGATCGAATGTCACCAAATTTGGTGCGTCAAGTCAAGCCCAAGTGCCCAATGGCGCAAAAAAGGTTTGGTGATGATCTGAGGTCATTTGCGGTCACACGGGCCAATTGAAAGGTCACGCCATTATAAAGGATAGGCAATTTCAGCAATTTCTGAACCATCTGCGGGCCAAAATATTCACCCAGTCATCACACAAGTTAGCACACACATAACCGGGGTATGGGCTGGGCTCCTCATAAGCGGGCTTCCGTGGTGTTGAACTGCCCCCATCGATGCCTCATGGGAGACCAGGTAACTATCTCTCTGATTGCGCTTGTTATAGATCCAAAAATAAAAAATCTGGTACAGCGCCTTTAATCAAACTTAATAAGTCATTATCAAAAAATTGGTGATTATAAATGACTCAGGCGTAGTCACTACTTAATTAAAGGGTTAGAGTTGGGAGTTACAGTATTCTTTAGTGTTAACCTAATAGTATAACAGTATTTGCTGACGCTTTTATGAGGCAAAACACACACAATAATACTCTGTTATTCAGTATTTCATTTTAGAGCTCATCTGTGCTTCTCTATACTGCAAACCCTAGTGTTTATAATGGCCCAGTGACCCAAGGCTATTAGGCACAAGTTTACATAACACTGTCACAGCTGGTTAGGTTCTTGTTTGAAAATAGAGTCTGTAATATTTCTCTTCATCTCCTCCTCCTCGTCCTCCTCCTCCTCCCAATAAGCATGACAGCATTTCCCTGAGCTCATTCTCATAAGAAAACAATGGTGGGTATATATTAGCTATGAGCTCCAGAACAATTAATCATGTAAATATGTCATGCCAAAGGTTAAGAGGAGCAGAAAGAGGATCTGATTATACTGGGGCCCATGGGATGGTTTAATTTGCAAAGGCACCTTGCAGGGAAACAAATGAATGCTTGAATTTCAACAGTGCGCAAAAAACAGCAGGGGCCATAATAATAATTTTTAAAAAAGTTAAAAAAAATTAAATAAAAATCTCGAGTGAAAAAATTGTGGAAAAAAAAAAATCTAAAGTGAAAAATCAGCTATTCTATTTTTTCACTATCAAAAAATGAACATAAAAAACATAATGATTACACCTAGAGAAATTACTCAAAAAAGTCATCTTACAGGTACTACTATTACTACAGTAAACAGGTATTATTCTTTACCACAACATAACTGCATTTCCTTAACATTGTTGTGAATCCTTGAATAGACTTGAATTGGTATTTCTAGTACACACTTCTTCTTCCTGTTCTTCTAAACAAACGTAAATACTTCTATTACTACTCTCAGGATGACTATTATTGTATCTGCTATTACTACTTTTAAGGTTGTCAAAAGTATTGAAAATCAGAAACTAATCAATACCAAAATTACTATCAAAACTATATACTCATTTGAGCAAGTGTCCATATACTAAAAAAGACAGAAATGGATCTTTCCTGAATAGGTTTAGATGATCTAGAGCTGTATAAGAAAAGACCACACAGACTATTAAACACCTATGGAACCTACATGGACACATAATGCATTTTCTGGACTACTGAGCGCACCAGAATATAAGCCACATATGTACATATATAGTCCAAACCTGAATATAAGCCACAGGTGTCCACATCTTCAAGAACATTTTCAAATTCGGACCATCTGCTTTTATCACCTCTGAAAACTTTTGTTGTCTTTTTGCATCAATTCGTCATGCTGCTGTCGCCAACACCTCACCATCGACTCACTGATGCTGAGCTCACATGCAGCAGCTCTGTTTCCTTCTTCTACATAAATTGCCATTAACTTAAAAGCTGTATCATCTGCATTTCTTTGTGTGTTTTCCATCAGGAGGATCGAAGGTGTGTGTATGAAGCACAAAATAACTGTTCAAAGCACAATCAAAAAAGGATCATCCCCGTCTCTCCCCGTACTCTACGGCGCATGTCTCCTACAGAAAGAGCCACTGTCCTGTCTTGTCTTCATATCAGTCTCTTGTAGGATTTCAGCAGATTTCAGACTCACTCGACGGCAGGGCTAGTTCTCTCAGGTATGAGTGGATGCTCGGCTACTGAAGTTTGAGACGTTTCTTCCCATCATTTACGCATACAGGTAACACATATCCCCCTCACTAATGTTCATTTAGCATCATAAATTATTTTATCACATGGAGATAAACTACTTGAGTGCACTGACAATATTGCTAGCTAGTGTAGCAACTTCCTGTGAACCCTAGATCCATGTGTGAACCGCACAGACAGCGGCGTTTTCTGCACTCAGGCTGCGTGTATCCACAGTGTTGCCAAACCATAGAGCGTATATATGAATGGACAATGTGCCAAACAACGAATCCATCCACATATTAGCTACATCATTTTATTAACTCTAGGGTTCAAAGTGTGAGAAAAAAGTAGTGGCTTATAGTCCGGAATTTACGGTATATAGGCCATATGGTAATATAAAAGAAAGTATTGATGATTTAATGTTGAAAATCATTCTATTGTCTAAAGAAAGTTTTTTCTGGTATCAGAATCGATATTGAGTATTGAGTCTATTCCTTATACCGAAATTAAGTATGAAATGTTATGATTGTGACAACACTAACTTCTATTACTATAGCTATAACACTACAGTCCTGATAACAGTTATGGTGTATCTGCATCTACTACTACTTTTACTAAATACTACTAGTACTATCGCTTTCGCTACTTTTTTGTGTCAAAGTTTCACAAACAAAATATTCTTGGTTGACACAATATTTATGCTTTGTTTCTGTTTTTATCCCCCACACTTGTGCTAAAACAAATTTAAGCTTAATATTACAAACAGATATAACCACCAGATATAAGTACTGACTACTGTAAGGTAAAAACACTGCATGTTATGGCATAATACAAACAAAAGACCAGTAATAATATATGATAGACCTCTATAACCCCTAAATCAATAACAGAATCTTATTATCGTTGGCTGTCATGACTCAGATGTAAATTTTTTCTTGAAATGGCCGCCCACAGACAACATTACAATCCTATTTCTGACACAGAGTAGAAGACGAGCTATAATCCAAGATCTTCACTTTAACAGAGAGCGCGGAGTTAGTGAAGCGTCAAGAGTCAGCCATGCACATCTGATTTATACTGCATTGTGATTGGACGAAACAAGATAACAAGAAGCAGCAGAAAAAGAAATAAGGAAAAAAGTCATGCATACTGACGACACAGGTAGACATGTTTATGATAAAGATGTGCTGTTGACTCACCGTTCTTGTCTGCGCGTCGGAATATCTGGAAAAAAAAGGAGACAACAATTCAAGATGTTTTTTTTGTTTTTTTTTTTACAGTTACGTTTTTAGTTTGAAAATGTGTTTAGTAAATATTTGTCATTGCCAGAGTTAAAGGTGCACTGTGGAACTTTTCTGGTGGACGGTTCCGCTATGTAGCACACTACTGTAGAATTAAACATATCCATCTAGCATTTATTCATTCGGGGTGTTTCTATTGCTCAAAAATACAATAATTCCTGTGAATATGGGCGACTCTCCACAGATCTGAATTGTAATGTAGCTTAGTGCTGTGACCTGCAGACCCCCACTAGAAATGTTACGCAGTGCACCTTTAAGCCAGCATCATGTGTGCGTAAATATTTTTTTAACCAAATAACAGTTGAAATATGGTTAACATGGTAAAATGGTGATATTTATACTGCAATTTTTCTAGATTCAAGGCACTTAAAGCACTTCACATAGAATAACCACTCACCCATCCACACACAATGTACGCAGACACTGGGGGCGAGGTGTGTTAAGTGTCTTGCCCAAAGAAACAACAACAGTATTCATCTGTGAGTTCTGGGATCGCACTGCCAACTTCTGCATCAGTGGACCACCAATGATCACGCAACCAATGAACGGGATTCAAACTGCCAACCTTCAGATCAGAGGATGAGCACCAACTGGGCAACTGCTGACTGAAGACTTCTACATAGAGAATATTTACGAGTATGTAGTATGGATTATTTCTTTTTGGGCATTTTGATTTAACAATGTCATTGTCTTATAAAAGATCTTACCATGCATTTTAGATTTTGTGTAGTCCCATAACAAGGATCTACATATTTATTTTAATACTCAATTAGCTATGAAGTATGATGAATTGAAGTCATTTTAACATATTTAAAGGGCCCATATTCTTTATCTTTTTGAGTTGTGCAAGTTGTGTTGTCATGTAGAAACCTCAAGTATTACAGGGATGTAGGTGTCTGATTGTCCATCTTCTACCCTAAATTTAAGTCTGAAAAATATAGTCTACTTAAAGGGCCCATATTACAATATTTTCTGATCTACGTTATAATGTTGTTTTTCCACATCACAAACATACCTGGAGTTGTATTTTTGTTTCATTAACACAAACCCTGCATATTTAGACTGAGTTCTTCTCAAACAGAAAACACTCTGTTCCACCTTGTGATGTCATGTGGTAATACAAGAAGTGCTCCGCTGTAAAAGGTATCTATTAACCTGAAAACTACTGCTCATGACATCACAAGGTAGAACAGAACATATGGGCTTTGAATATGTAGTCAGACTAATCCTGCTGGATTACTCAAACATAGGTGTATGAAACAAAACATAACTCTGGATTAGGGATGGGCATGATTAGTCGATTAATCGATAATTGATCATTAAGAATTTCATCGATTACGTTCATTTTAATCGACAAACCGAATGTGCGTAGCGTAGCGTGCCCAAACATGAGTCCGTACATGTAGCTCTCTGCATCAGAAGGATCGAGACACAAACAGTCGGTCAGTCTGCAACTTACTGAAGTGCAAATGCGAACGATGTGCAACGATGACTTGTACAAAAAAATTCCACGCTTTCCGTTCGGGACAAGTGGGAGTCCATGTGCACAGTGTATAAAGCAGCACATGTTTCGGTGTCCAGTGGGAAAAAGCTTTGCCAGGTGAGAGTCGCGCAATGTCGATGACGAGTCCCCACCTCCCACCCCCATACAGTGTCCTGGTTTTGACAAATGCAAATATGGTCACACTAACCTGTATTCACCTGAGTTGTGTCTTTTAATCCGACAGAAATTGACCACATCTGCGCACAAGAGCTGTAGTTTTATCTTCTCTTAGTTTATGCAAATTAGCGATGCGGTTTTAAGTTTCGTTTCTGTGAGAGTTGCGCAAAACTGAATTAAACACAATATAATCTAAAACGGATTGATGTGGCTCTAGAGTCGTTACGGTTTATATGTCGTAAAGTTGAATTTATTTATGCAGATTAGTTGTGTAGATAGTAATAATAATGATGATCATTTTAATATAAAAACGTTAATGATTAATCGATAATCGATCGTTAATTCTTCCGACGATCGATTAAGAAAATTTCGTCGAATGCCCATCCCTACTCTGGATATGTTTTTGATGAGGTAACAGCAATTTAACATGACTTAACTCTTACAAACCAGTTTTGCATAATTGAACATACTTATTTGCTGTGTAAAAATGTGAACAAAATAAACCACTTTAACCACAGAAATAGCCCAACACGCAAGCACAAGGCATATTGACCTTTTAGGCAGTTTTAAATTGGGCAAAGCACAGATCAAACAATGATTTCACCACTTCAATGATGGAAAAACTACTTCAAATACAACTACTGGAACTATGAAAGTCTCTTGTGTTCAGTAAGAGATTCCATAATTACACTTGACTTTAAAAAATCATCAATACAACTCATTCACCCGCCTCCCACACAAGCGCCGCCACAGACAATTAAACACAACAAAGTATGTTTTTCCACAACACAACACTGAGTAACTACAGATCTGGCCAGTGCAGTCTGCAGTGCCTCCTTATAAGGTCACGTATATAACCAGGACTGCAAGATTAATCACCATCAAATCAAAATCGCAATTAGAATGGATGCATTTAGCAAATTGTAAAGACTACAATTTTACTACTACTATTACTAGTACTATTATTTTCTCCACAAACAACAAAATAACCAGTCTTACTCTGCAAAAAATGCAAAATCTGTAGTTGTTCTGAAATGTGATTCTTGTATTTTTCTTGTTCATATTTCAGTATTTTGCAAATTATCTATTCTTCTGCTTAAATGTGAATTTTAAACAGAATCCTAAAATCACAACTTGAATCGCAATCGTAATGGCAATCGACTCTAACACCAGTCTCGATTGTTCCACTATATGGCATTAAACCATCTACCTACTCTCCATGGAGACAAGTTGCAGGTCAGCTCTGTGGAGAGGCAAGACTAATCACAGAAGAAAGTATTTTTTTCCCCAAAGTATTTCTTTAGCTATAAAACCACCTGCAATAAAAAGCCAGATACAATATTCTGAATGTGGAACACTCCAGGGAAAGCGATATTATCTGTACACAAGCAAAATTCACTTCTATATTTATTGCAGATGTCACCAAGTCTTAGTGCACATGACTATTCTATTTGGGAACCACATATTCTCTGCTATAAGGCTTACAGAAACTCTTGGTATCATAACACAAAACAAATCCCAAAACAACTATTGGTAAGATTTATTTACACTTTAATTCAACTTAACTTACCAAACCTTAACATAAAACCCAAACATAACAGGATTCAGGAACCGCCAACCCTGCAGTGTAAATATAATATATATTACTATGTTACGAAAGGTAGGCTCGGCACGATAATTATATTGACGTTCAGTACATGAAAGCATTATGTATGTATTTTGAGACTCAATATTAATATGTATTATAAAATCCTATCTACAGTTTCTTAGCAATAATGAGCAGATTTGCAAATGTAGAAGGTAGAAAAAGTTAGCCTGTTCGTCAGCCTGTTTCGCTTCGTGGAAACCGTCTGATGCAATGTTAGAAATCATTCGCTCGACGGTAGGTGGGTACTTTTTTCATTTAACCAATTGCTGCTATTTGATCGTGATGTATGTAATGCGCCACTAACAGGACTAACTGGTGTTAAGCTTTTCCCAAAAAGAAGGGCAGTCTTTCCCCTTGATAAACTTCAACAAACATTCTCTTTGTTCTGGCTTTAAATCCTTGATCTTGAGAATCGTTGCCAACACAGAATGTCCGTCTCTTCGTTGATTGGCTAGTGCCCAAACTCGCACTTCTGGGGTTTTTGTGAACCATCTAGTGTGTTTCGATTCCTGACCTAGTCGCTGGAGAGAAATTAAAGTGAACAGAGGCACTAGGCAGTGCCGCATGGCTAAGAAAAAGTAATTTCTGTGGCTAATTATTGCATAAATCTTTCAGGTCATACTGTCTATTTTTTAAATGTTTTTCTATGGTTATTTTGCTTTATTGTCAGTGTGTCAAAAGCATAAAATACTTTCAGAATTATCATTTATGGCAGTATATCTCTGTAGAATATATATTGTGCTTTAAAATGTGCTACTGCCTAATGACATGAAGTTACACAGTATAACATTGTACTTGAAGAGATTAAGTGTAAAATACAACTTTACATTACTATTATATAATCCTGTTAGCCTCTGTAACCTATAGATAGACAGTGTTTTTCTTATGACGAGGTCTTTGGCAGCTGTCACACTGCATATTTGGGCTGTGTGTGTGAGCAGAGCATAATGCATCATTTACAGCAGGCCCACAAAGGTCAGAGCAGCTTCCCATCGTGCTGTCGTCCTGGTGTCATGGAACCAGGTGCTAAGACTCAGAGCTCCAGTCTTCAGATGTGTGTAAGATCCTACAGTAATTGGACTGCACTGACCTCCACATTTATCACCTTTGGGGAGTTCTCTGCAAGGAAAATGTTATTGGTTTTTGTCACTTATATAGGTTTTGTGTGACTATAATGTGAGAAAGTACTAGTATATGTCCTTGTTAGGGATGGTCAGTGTATGGGTTTCTGACATTACTGATATTGGAGCAGGTTTCTCAGATATCAGTAATCAGTATTACTCAGTTATTGACAATTTAGCTGATAATTTGCACATTTTTTTAAAGAACTTCCCCAGTTTCTGTGTGTCCATGCAGTATTCCTCAGTGCATCTATTGCCTTTTTGAACATTATATTGTGATGTGTGGGCTACTGTGTCCAAGTAATTTCCCTTGTGGATCCATAAAGTCTTAATCCAACTGACTAATGAGTAAAAATGGAAATGGAAGAGCAATTACACTAATAAAAATATGCATTAGTCTTCTATAGCACATTTCAGATGCACGAAGTTGCTTTATTCGTTCATTCCATAATCTGTGATGCCAGCTGCCCTGGGACAAACTGACAGAAGAGAGGCTGTCAATCTGCACCATCAGCCCTTTCAACCACCAAAAACACTGACACACACCACATGCATACTGGCCACAGAGGCGGCGCTACCATTAGGCAAAAGTAGGCACCTGCTTAGGGCCCCAAAACCTGGAGGGCCCCCAACCAATTACGCTCTGCGGCCGAGCCCTCACAGCACTTTTCTCAGAATGATTTTCTCTCAATATGACATTAAATGAGAGTAGTTTACTTTTAAACAATTATCATAAGAATAATAATAATAAACATATGTAATGGATGTAAACAAAAATAAAATTGTACTAGCAAAAAAATGTAACTACTTTCAGTTCTGGTTATCTAGTAGGCGACCGAACTAATAAGACAAGTTTCCAATCCACTGCAATTCAAATAAATAGAGATGTGCAGGTCTCAAGAAAAATGGGGACCATCAGACAATAATATATATATATATATATATAAAAAATATAAAAAAAAATAATTCAAGTTCACTTCTGGCCCCCAAATTCCTAACTCTGGCACTGACTGGGCAGTGTGGGTGAAGTGCTTTGCCTTAAGACACAACAACAGTTTTGTCACAGGCAGCCTATTATGGCACCTGATATTGGTTCGAAAATAAATAAATACATTTAAAATCCATACAGGATCATCCCTAATCATAATAATGTGCAAGTTCAAGTGCTCTGAAGTTGAACTGCCTCTTTGGCACAGTAATCACTCGCTCGTTCACGACATGTGGGCGAAATATCTTGTTGCAATTGATAAGTGGCTCTTAATTTAGTGCAATCCATCATAAACAGATTGGAAATTACTTCTGGATGGCAGTCAAAACTCAATTTGAAAAAAAAAAAAAAAAAAAAAAAACACTGTCCAGATGGCTACTTTTGAAAACTTTCCTAGCAATGATACATACTATGGTTTTCAAAGTAATATTAAATGCAATTACTACAGAATGCATCACCAATATAGGAATAGAAGCAAAACTAACTAGGCGCCTTTGTTTTCACTGACTGCATTTGACACCCCATCATGTTACATCTCACATGGCACCTATTTACAGATTTTGTTTTATTTACTAACAGCATTTCCTTTTCTTTTCATTCTTTTTATTCATTCAAATCTGCCTCCCAGCCTGTGCTCTGTTAGCAAAATCATGAACAGGAGAGCCCAGTGATGTGGCGCTCTCTTCAGGGACAGCTCGCACCAAGAGTGTGACATTTTTGCCGAAAGTGACATTTTTTTTCTTCTTCAGAGAGAAAATAAAATCCTTGAAGTTTGGACCAGAGCCAGCCTAGAGGGATCGCAAAACAATGATAACAAACCACACATAATAGGGCTGCTGATTTAGGTAACCGTGGTAGTCAGATTTTTTTTTTTTTTTAATTAGTCAAGTAGTCAAATTATTATTTCTAGTACATCGAGATGGTTAAAAATACACTTCTAAATAAGACATAGGAAATACTTACAATTGCAATATTAATACAAATCTGAAATTGTCTGAAATATCTTTTTTTGACATTCTAGTTTAAAAGCTCAGTACACGATATTTTTCAAAATTTGTCTTGCCTGAGCACAGATTTACTGTAGCTCAAAAGGTTAAAATAAGTCCACTGTGTACTATCTGCATCTAGAAAGCATTTTAGTGTTAGATCATCAGGAGTGTGTGTTAACATGCTAGTTGTCGTTAGCTTTCCTGTCACAGCAAAACTCCAAGAATTGTTAAAAAGCTTATAAACTCACTGCAGTGAATAATTACGATGCTCAGAATGTAGAAGGTGAGTGAGGAATAACTTTGGAGCACTGCAGACCTCATAATGCACTAGTTCTGTTTTTCCTGATTTTGAGACAGAGTACAGAGAGTACAGCACCTTTAACAATCCTGTCTTTGTCATAAAAGGTCTTTTGGAATGTGTTATAGAGTCGTTATAATCCAGATAACAACTGTAATTGTTAAAGGTGCTTTTTTGGTGCAGGGTTTGTCAAATGCTTTTCTTCATGGAGATGTTAATAGCGTTGTATGGAACGTTTCACAGTATGGTATAGGGATGTAACAATAACCAAAATCATGATATCGTATCATCAAGTCTCACAATAATATCGCGGAATGTCACAATTTATCGAATTACGAGTTCCTTTGCTTAAATTCCTTGTTTTAGAGTAGCAACAGCCAGTAAACATTGGGAACTACTAGGAGTGCAAGTTTCACAATACGATATTATCATGGTAAAACCTCACTGTACGATATTTATTGCGATATCTTGGGAAAGCTCATGATATGGTTGGGAGGTTCACGTTTAGGGATGTAACAATATCAAAATCTCTCGGTACGATATTTTCGCGATATACATCTCACGGTACAATATTTATTGTGATACTTTGTGGAGGCTAAACAACTAAAACTGTTAATATGCTACTTTTTCCTCTTAAAATGTCTTGACAAGACTTAATCCAAACAACTAAGACTTAAAAAAGCTTAGAACTGTTATTTCTTCTTGTAGTCTGCATTGAAATAAAAAACTGTCTTAATTTAGACTTATAATTCGATATATTGTGATGGTCCACGATATTATTGTGAGAACTTTGACAATATGATATCACAATATTTTGGTTATTGTTACATCCCTAGGAACTACATATCCCATGATTCATTTCAGTGCAGACAACATGAAGAAATGTTTTTTACTTGAATTCTTGGGATTATGATGGAAATAATTCACACCAAAAAAAGTCTCCTATCTGCAATTATATTAGCCTCTCCAAAATATTGCAATAAATGTCATACCGTGAGATGCATATCGTGATAATATAAATAAATAAATAAATAAATAAATACATGGTTCACCTTAAATGTTAAGATTTGGAGCTATTATTAGAGTTTTAAGATTAACCAATTCACTTTTAATCCGATAAACTTGTATAAAAAGGTGTTGCTTAAAAAAGTAAAATAAAAAGTAGAATAAAAAATAAATCTGAATAGAAATGTAAAGCTTTTCCATGTCTTGAAAAGCAGTAGTCTAAACAGGATGCCTCTGATCGTACCGTGAGATGCATATCGTGATAATATCGTACCGAGAGTGTTGGATATCTATCTTTCTATCTTCATGGAGATCAAATAAGATCAAGTTACAGGTCAGATCTGTGGAACATTCTAAGCAGTCCCATAAAAAAAATTGCTAAATAAAACATCAGAATCATGTAAAGCGGGTTAATATGAACATTTTATGACCAAAATGATGAGGCTCACTGCAGCAGTCACAGAGAGAGAGATGACAATATTCCAATGTTAAGTCAATTGAAGCCAGGGTCAGAAGGAACTGGAAGTGCTTTCGTGCTAACTTCCGAACATAGAGGCCATTACATATAGTCTATAAGTGCACCTTGAAAATACAACCTAGATTATTTTTTATAGTCTACTAATCACAATTATTTGATTAATCATTGCAGCACTATGAGGTATAATGAAGAAAGCATAGAGTGGTAGACTTCTGTATGCTTCCTAAGATGATAAATGTTCCCTAATTGCCGTGAAGCCTGATTTAAGAATAATGTTGGTGCTTGCATGTACAGTTTAGTGTGAGAGAAAGCAGAGGAGCAGGAGGAGGCTGCAGCTGCTGCCTCTGCATGATAAATGAAGCCCTCACAGTGGGAAGGGTTTAGGGACAGTTGGGTGCCCTCCACATGTTCAACAACCCACACTAAATACAGCTCTGTCACACATGACATGGGCTTCAAATGAGAAGACTAAGAGTGTACCAGCGTTATAGACCAGGACCATGTGTTTGGACTGACAGCAGTCTGGTTCAAAAAGATAAAGCAAAGAAATACATCATCAAACACATACCTAGAGTTGTTTCATTCACACACTGAACACACACATCTTGCAAATGTAGTTCTTCTCCCAAACTGAAACACTCTGTTCCACCTTGTGATGTCAGTGCTCCACTGTATTTTTAAACTCCATACTCCTTCAATACATGATTTCAGCCCTGGAATTGCCCATCTCTACTGAATGTAAAGCAAAATGTAGATGTAACTTGAGAACTACCACATGAGATCACAAGGTGGAACAGAGCATTTTGAGTTTTTTTTTTGTTGTTGTTGTTTTTTTGAGATGTAAACAGTTTAAAGGAGCTCTAATGGCAGGTCTGTCACCTGCTTGGATCCAGGGATATATTGTTAATTTGCCTGGAAAGTCCCACAGTATGGCATTATTTATTTTGAGACAAGCAGGTAATATCACCAGGTTTATTTACAGGTCAGAAGAATGTAATTTTTTTCTAGGTATTCATAGAAAAACATCTGATTAACACAAGAGAAATGTGTTTAGTGTTACACAATAGAACCTCCCAGGCAAAGAAAAATGCATGGAGATAAATAAATAAATAAATAAACAGATACATGGTTCTCCTTAAATGTTCATGATCTGGAACTATCATTAGAGATTTAAGATTAACCAATTCACTTTTAATAATATAGACTTGTATAAAAAGGTGTTGCTTAAAAAAGTAAGATAAAAAGTAGAATAGAAATAAATCTGAATAGAAATGTAAAGCTTTTCCATGTCTTGAAAAACAGTAGTCTACTGTTTTTGCATCCTGCCTCTGTTAACACTGGCAAACGTGCTGAATAAAGTCCTCTATGCAAAGTAACAGCGTGTGCTTTGGTACGCGCCCACGAGGACACAAACAGGACGCAGGCGACACAAACAGGAGGAGTTCACTGTAGTTAAGAGTCACTCACATCGTGGAAGATGGTGAGTCCCTGTCCGGGCATGTGCTGCTGCGGCGGCTGCTGCTGCTGCTGCTGCTGCTGCTCCCGGAGATGCTTGTGTTTGGCGGACTGCAAACACATGGTGATTATCTCTGTACAAGCCAGCATCTTTACGCAAAATGCCCCAAAACGTGAACAAAAACCGCAGAATACAAATAGACAAATAGTGACGGAGTGCCGGAGGTGCAGGTGCGAGGGCAGACGCCAAGTGAGAGCGGGAGGAACCAACCAGTGCAGTGGAGCAACTTTGCGCGCCGTGTGTGGCTCTGTGTGTGCGTCTGAGGAGATGTGCAGCGCCACCTGCTGAAGGCTCTAAGTAACTACACACTCTGTTCTTTAACATTTTTATGTCCCTATTATTACAATTGATAAAAATATTGCCTGGCTACCATACACTTTCCTACTGAAGAGAGTGCAGGGAATAGTGCTTTGAAGAATTAACTTAAAATTATTTTAAAATATTGCTAATTTAAACCAGTTTGTGGCATCACTTCATCGACTTTTTCTTCTTAAAGATTATTAGGCAAATTGACACCCAAGTTGTCTATATATTTACCTCTAAACTACCACTAAACATACAAATTATAGGCCTACTGACTATTTCTTACATACTTTTACATACTTTATATGGCCTATAACTTGTATTAGGAGTAAGTTGTAGATTTATTTTCAAAATGTCTTTACTACTTTACTACTATTAATAGTTAATTATTTAATTGCCAATTGTTTCATCCTATAACTAGTGAATAAAAAAAAAAACTACAAGACAAGCAATTTTGATTGAACATTACCATCTGGTGGATCCTGGTGGAATAACAGCTTAATACAACACACGCTTTAAACTTTCTAAAAGTATGATTTATTTTTGTTAAGTAAGAATGCTTGTTGAGATCGATTCTTTCTTCTGATTTTTTTCACACAGCGAAAAATAGAAACATTTCAACATCCAGCAGGGGGCGGGGCAATAACCAAAATCCAACCAATATCCCTTCACTGGCGCGCTCTTCCTGAAATTGGCGTGAGTTTCGTTTTCGACATAACAACCGACAGCAATGAAAGCGAGCTCCCGTCTCAGCAAAGAACCAAATAGTTTAGCACAAAGTACAACTTGATCCTAGTTATCGTGCGTTTGTACATTGCGTAAAAGTGTAAGGATCCGCAGCGACAACCAACTTGTACAGTAGGTGTGCACTTCGGACTCTTGGCATATTGTCAGGATTAATAGGCTGTCTCTACTTTATTCACATTTGTAGCCTTCACCATTGAATATAATATATGTAGTTTTATGTAAAAGATGACCTCTGAGGTTGACAAGACTTTAAAAGAAGGTAAGTAACTACTTTCGCTTTTGTTTCTGTTGATGACTTATCACTAAAGCAGCTTCATATTAGTTTATTCCCTCGTATGTAGGAATTATATCAAGTGGGGTGACAATATACGATCTATTACCCTATAACGTACTTTGTTGCATAATGACACAAACTTTAATCACGCGTAGTAATAAAGAAGTCTGTATCAGGTGAATCTTGACGCTCTTCCTGTTATGGTTGTACAGCTGAGGAGCTCGCCAAGGCTCTAAGTGACGCTCTCAGCTCTGGGAATGGAAATGAAGCGACCAGACTGTCCCAAAGACTGTGCGAGCTCTCTGTGCCAGTGTCTGTCAACATCAGCAGACAGGCGTATCCACAGGACCCCATCAGGTAATGATATGTGGCGTCTAATGGTGGTAATTATTTGTTAATTGAGATAATTAAAAGTCCTATATTAGGCTACACAAGGAGGAGGAGGTGTTGTGTTTTGTTTCACTGACACGTGTTTGAGTAAACCTTAATTATTAGCCTGTCTACATCCCCCAAAGCTCAAATGCTCTGTTCCAATTTGTGATGTCATGAAAAGGTAGATTTTAAGTTATCAGCTACCTTTTACCTTTAGGTCAGTAGAGACTGGCAATTTCAGTGCTGCATCCAAATGATTCTAGCGGGGCTGTATAGAGTTGTTGTGGATGAAGACACTGATGAATGTTGAAGCAAAGACGAAGAGTTTATTTCTTGCAAGAAATAGGTCCAACAGAACAACCAGCGGCATGTCCCCCATACGTCAGACCCCGAATGATACAAGCACTAAGTTTATATAAGTTGAGATGAGCGGAGGACATCAAAGTGAGACGGTGATGACTCGTACTGAGGTGTGGCAAGACGTGTTCCAGTTGGCCTTCCTGAGCAGGATATTACATGTGGAGTTTAAACAATACAATACATCGAAGGGACTTTCTAACACTGTCTATAAATATGTAGGGTTTGTGTGTTAAGCATGTGTGAATGAAACAAAACACAACTCAGGTATGTTTGTAATGAGGAAAAAACATTATAACATAGATCAGAAATTGGTGTAATTAAGCAGACTATTTTTCAGACTCAAAGTTGGAGTAGAAGATGGACAATCAGACACCTACATCCCTGTAATACTTGATGTTTCTACCGACATGACAATTGCACAACTCAAAGATAAGGTATGTCTGAAATCAGTAATGATCAACTTAAGTGCACTTTTACCCTAAATCTATAAATCAATATAGTATAGATGTTGGATGTTGAATGTGAATAACTTTAAAGGATTTTGGAATTTTCCACAATATGATATTAAGTAGCTTTACCTAACAATTATTAAATTACAGGTGGTTTTATAGCTCAAACATACTAACCTGTAACTTGGTCTGGTTTGGTCTCCATGAAGATAGAAAGGTTTAAGACCATACTGTGAAACATTCCAGACAAAACAATAACTAACTATTAATAATTTGACCGACCCTCCACCAGAAAACTTACACAATGCACCTTTAAGTAGCAAAATGTAGTACTTCTTTCACCACTGATCCTGGGGACCCAGGATAGAGAAATGAAATGAGTCAAATGTAGAGAGCACACACACTATTTTTGCACATGTATCTTGTTTTTATTTTAGATCAGCGCTGACTTTGGCTTCCACCCGACGCTACAGCGCTGGGTGATTGGTAAACGACTCGCTAAAGACCCAGAGACCCTGTACAGCCACGGTATCCGACAGAGCGGAGACCAGGCCTTCCTCTTTATTCAGTCAGCCAGCGCCGCCCACCTCACCAAACACCAGCACAAACAGGAGCACGAGCAGCAAGTTTTGGAAGGTCAGTATAACACAGACTTCTACCTTAAAGAATTATTCAATGTTAACAAACAGTGAAGATGACCGTGCTTGTAATATGAAAATGTACTTGTGTTAGAGTAAAAAAGAGGTCAAAAAAGGTCTGAGGTACTCTGCTAGAAATACTAGTCCAGGCCAGCGCATTTCAACACAGGTGGTGTTTTCATCAGGTCATATTTTGCCCACTTTTTTGTCTGCCACAAGTATGGTATAAGCTTTACTTTTGAGCCTTATACTTGAGGAACACCTGTTTTAGATTTTTCACTAAGAAAAAATCCCCTAAAGCTGTAGTTGTAATAACAAATTTTGTGTTATATACTACTGAAAACATATGGACAAGAAACAATAATACTCAAACCAATTTTTAACACTGATACACTAATGGTACAAATCATAGAAAAAAAACAAAAAAACAGGCATGATAAGTTAACAGCAGAATGAAACACTTAAACATACACCAGTTAGATAAGGAGTCATTGAAAATAATTGATTTGTTCTGCTAATCATATAGAAAAATATCAAATGTTCCCTACACAATCACAATCAAGTTGTAATTAGCAAATCACACTCTTTTATTATAACATTTTTTAAAGGTCCTCTATTATGCAGAATTGTTTCTTGTGAGTTTTAAGCCATGCTATAATGTTGTTACCTCCCCAAAACATACCCAGAGTCATGTTTTGTTTCAGTCACACATGTTTGAGTAACTCTTTATTAGTCTGTCTACACCTCCAAAGCTCAAATGCTCTGTTCTACCTTGTGATGTCATGTGGTGGTAGTTTTCAAGTTGGCATTTACCTTTTACCTTTAGTTCAGTAAAGATTGGAAAATCCCGGTCTGAAATTATCCAAATGATTCTAGTGAAGGTGTGTGGAATTTAAAAAACACAATGAAGTACTTAGTGTATCACAAGGTGAAATCTGTTTTCTGTTTGATAAGAACTAAATATGCAGGACTTGTGTGTTAAACATGTGTGAATGAAAGAAAACACAACTCCAGGTATGTTTTTTTACTGAGTAAAAAAAAAACATCAGAAAATAATAATAATACGGGCCCTTTAAGTAACATAAATTTCTTTCACACACAACTAAATGTCATGTCTTTTTCTGCATAAAAACTGATAGATCTGCACAAACATTTTCTGAAATGATTCTTGTGTTACTTTGTCACATTTGCCAATTTTCCTAGATGTTTTTAAAATGTGAACTTTGATGTAAAAATGCAAGAATAATTGTAACAGACCTAAATGTGATTCATATGATTTGATTTTACAGGCATAGTGGAAACAATGCAGGCCATGCAGCTTTTGCCCAGAGGCGGTTTTGGAGAAAAAACTCCTACAGAAGTGAAAAAAGGTCCCCCTCTACTTCCAAAACCTCCAAAACTTCCAAACCTGGCACGACCTCTGCCTCCAAGGCCAGAGGTTAGAACACAGGGGACTTTATAAGCAGGGGTGGGCACAATGTTAGAAATAAGGGACAGTTCTATGCAGCTATAATTTAAAACATGCTGTTACTAGGGGTGGGATGAGACACACAATAAATTTGGGTCCACGAGAATGAGACAAGATGAGATTTTTTGTTGGCTTCATGTCATTGTAGTACTGCTTTTTGGAACTACAGCTTCTCAAATTGCATAACTTACCAGCTCTTAATTCTTTTTTTTTATCCAAGCCAAAGGTAAATTCAGGGGGAAACAATCTCAAGAGATAATTTTTCTCATGTGTGCAAAATCTTGTGGCAATTTTGTCTCGTGAGATCTTGTGGCACGAGATCTTGTCTGCTCCCTACTTATTACTAATCTATGTATGCAATTAAGAAGTACTGTAAACAATTTTGAGTTAGGAAAAGAGGGAAGTGCCAGGCATGCAACCAAACTTACAAAGGTGGAACTAAATCAAAACTAAAATAATTACTGAAACTGGACAATGATATCATTATGGCAATTTCATTTATATATATCTGTAATATGGATTGACTACTGAAGATCATATGCTGTAATTGTAAGATACCTTTAGGTGTGTTTACACTTGCATAATCACCACATAAAACTGAGCATGAACTAGGACGGAAACTGGAACTAAATCTGGACTAGACCATGACTAAACCAGGACTACAGCAAGACCAAAGTAAGAATACATTTTGACTCAAACTAAACTAAATCTAGGACCAAAAAAGGGCAAGAATACATGCACCCGGTAGTTTTTTGCCATACTGAATCAAGTGGCCAATTTACATGGTGATTAAGGTGATTAACTTGTTATTTGGTTCTACATTATGCCCATTTTAGATCAGATATGGACTTGGTTTGGTCCTGTTCTAGTCCAGATTTAGTTTCGAGTTTAGTCACGCTCTAGTCCTAACTTTGATGTAATGAACGTGCAAGCATGAACACACCCTGAGTTTAAAGACTAAAATAACTGGAAGATTTTACCTGTTAACCTTTTCAGTCTAGCTTTAGTAAATTTGTTGTCCCCCCATAAAGTTGATTGTATAAGTAAAACTTTGTTGCAAAACCTTATTTGTGCTTTCTGCATTTAACTGTAAAACATTTGATCAATTGCAAACTCACAACAAGAGTTACGTGTGCCATTATGTAACATTTTGAGAGCTGATGTACCAAAGAACCAATACTGCATACTTTAATACCTACTATTAACGGTATAATATACCCTAGCTTTAAGGTGTTGATTCATGATTATGTTTACATCTATCGTAAATGTTTGTGTGTATGTAGGATGGATGGACCTGTCCTCAGTGCACCTTTGTGAACAAACCCACCCGACCAGGATGTGAGATGTGCAGTCAGGCCAGACCAGAGGATTACGAGGTGCCGAATGTGTACAACCCAGACCCAGAGGAGATCAAGAGGATGCAACAGGAGGAGATAGCTCTGCAGCTGTATCAACAGGTAACTACTGCCTACTGGCTTTATTACATACAGTACAATGTCAGCACAGTTCCTCCTTCTCTTAGCAAAAATGCTTCTTTTGTATTTTGTATTTTTTTTTGTGTTGACACGTGTTTTTTTTTCTCCAAATAATCCATTTTAAATGTAGGTAATTTAAATTAGGTTCACTATAAACTGGATAAAAGAGCAATGTAGTCACATTTTGTGTAGAGATGCACCGATCCAGCTTATTCTGTTCTGATACCGATGTCAAGACTTCGGTATTAAATATCTACCAATAACCAATGTCAACGGATACAAGGGAAGGGATTGAAAATATTAAGATTTCTTTCCTTGTAAAAATTTTCCAATTTTGTCTTTTTACATCAGTTTATAGATACCCCATTCATGAAAATGCTCAGTATCAGCATTGATATCGATACCATTATTGTATATTTTGTGCAGTACCCTCTTTGGACTAAAGTGTTCAAATAAAGATTGATGCTTTTATTCTTTAAACATATGGAAGCTGCTGATTTGTCCAATAAAATATTGGCCTCTGCAGGAGATTCTCGAGGTATAATACATACACAAAAAAGATGATGCCTTTAAGATGTTTTCTACTGTGATTGTCAAGTCAAGCTTAGTTGTCAAACCAGACCTGCCACATACACTACCAGTTACTAAGAACATCATCTCCTCATATCTTTGTAGCATTTACACAACAGACAGTGATTGTCATGTTTTACTTAAAAATATAATTATTTTCAATTGAATGAAGGCGCAGCTTGAAGAAAGGGAACAAAACTACCGTGACCTGATAGAAACTGACAATATAGACCTCATCCCCAACCAAGAGGAAGTAGACTGCCCTATCTGCTTTACCACACTAGAACCAGAAGAGGGCGTTGTGCTCCGAGAATGTCTGCACACGTTTTGCAAGTCAGTAAATCAAAAATACATATTAGATTTTAAATGTTTTTATCTGGTTTATTATTTATTGATCTGTTTTGTGTATCAGGGAGTGTCTCGTAGGAACAATCGTGAACAGTCAGGATGCAGAGGTGGCCTGTGCGGATACGACATGTGACAGTAAGCTGCTGGATAGAGAGATCAAAGCAGTAAGTACTAGGAGTGTGCTTTGCCATGATTCTGGCTTTACGCAACTTATAATGTGCCTGTGATGATTCAGTATATCAAGATATATCCCGATGTTAAAACAAAGTACAATATATTGTGATTATCAATAATTACATATAAAATTATGGTTGAGTACACTTTCACCAGAACAAAATTGGATGAAATACAATTCATTTTATTTTTAAATCATGAGAATTGGAACTGGAGCTTATGAATTTTGACCAAAAAATATTACTTAAAAAAAAATAATAAAATCCGGATGCATTTTGAATCAATATTGCGATATATCACTGAATTATTAAATTTTATTTTTTTCAGTACAGTGTTGCAATAGAAGGTAGGCCTGTCACAGTAATTACTATGTCATCTTATCGTTCAGTTTATGAAACCTGGAACAATATATTTTGGAGCTCAATATTTATCATGTGTATAATTTCTTTGCAAAAATGGGGAGATTTGGGGTATTTTTGATATGAAACCCTAAGATATCAACTGTATAAAGTTGAATAGGTGATTCTATGGCTAATTATTGCTTCATTTTGTTATTTATTTGTTGCAGCTCAGGCCTCTTAATGATACTGTCTATTTAAAAATGGTTTTCTGGGATTATTTTAGTTTATTGTGAGTGAATCAGTTGGATAAAGTAGTTTCAATATGATCGCTTATCGCAACATGTCTCTGGAAGAATATACTGTGCTTCAAAGCTTTGTTATGGGGACAGGCCTAATCAAGGGTGATGTTTTGCTTTGACATTATATTTAATTGTCATGTTGTATCGGTACTAAAGTTGGCCAATATATAAAATAATTGACAATATTGTGAATGTTGTTCTAAAAATATGCAACATTGGAATATTGGGGGTATAGCATTTATGTAAGAAATCTTAAAATGTTGCAGAAAGAGCTCATTAAAACCAAAATGAAACAAAGTTAAGTTAAGTAAGTGACATTTTACACATTTGTAAACCTCAGCTAATTTAGCAAATTACTTCTGGATTGCCAAAATATACTTTATTGTTATTGTGATATAAATATAAAGATACACATTTTTGTCAATATGCCCACATCTAATTGGACCATTTAAAAAAAAAAAAGTTACATTATTTGATGTATTATTACCTACACTTCAGATGTAAGATTAATCACAATTCAAATGGACACAATCAGATACAAGTTTTGAAGTACCATAATTTCCTACATAAACAACAAAATAGCAATAACAAATAGTCTTAATCTGCATAAATATCAAACTTATACAAGAATCACGTTTATCAGTTCATATTTTAGTCTTGTTACTTCTACATGTTTAAAATGTGAACTTTGAACAGAATCTTAAAACGCTGGATAACTCTCGAGCCTGACACGTTTCTATGCTCTGCCCCAGCTCCTCACAGAAGAGCAGCTACAGCGCTTCCTAGAGTTACGTCTGAGTATTGCAGAGAGCCGCTCTGAGCACAGCTTCCACTGCCAAACGCCCAACTGCCCCGGCTGGTGCATTTATGAAGATGAAGTCAATGAGTTTCCTTGCAACATTTGTGAAGAGACCAACTGCATCCTCTGCCGGGTATAACCTATTTTAATTATGCAATATACATCACGCTGGGGGTGTTCTACATGTATGTGCATGGTTGAATATTTCCATGATGACACAATGCAGACATAGGGCTGTCACGATAATTACTACATCAAGTTATCGTTTAATACATTTTTGGGGGTCAATATTTACAGTGGGGACTTTTTTATACTAGTTGGGGGAGTTTTAGTTTGAATTTTTATGTACTACGATTAGATTTGAGTAGCCAGGCTGGCGCCACCTAGTGCCTGCGCTCCATTTAATTTCTCTCCAGCAACTAGGTCAAGAAATTGGAATTGGAATACAATAGACGGTTTGCAAAAACCCTGGAAGTCAATCAGCGAAGAGACATACATTTTGTGTTGGCAATGATCCCTGAGATCGAGGATTTAAAGCCGGAACAAAGAGAATGTTTGGTGAATTTTATCAAGGGGAGAGACGTTATTGCCCTTATTCCTACGGGATTTGGGAAAAAGCTTAATATACCAGTTAGCCCCACTGGCGGCGCATTACATATGTCATGACCAAATAGCAGCAATTGGTTAAATTTTAAAAAGTACCTGCCTACCGTCGAGCGAACGAATTCTAACGCTGCGAGGTCTCAGAAGGGTTTCTATGCAGTGAAAGTGGCTGATGAATCAGGCTAAGATAAGTTGCAGAGGGATGAATGAATAAATAAATAAGTTCATTGTCTCATTATAGATACAAATTAATGTTTCATTCTGTTATTTATTTAATTCTGTTTGTATTTTTAACAGTATTATACATTTAGAATATTTTTTTTGGGGGGGCACACGGGCATAAAGTAGTTTCACTATTATAATTTATAGTTTTTATTTTCTTCAGCAGTGTATCATACTTCAAAATTTGTTACCGTGGCCTATGCACACATTAGCAAACACTGACAAAAAAGTTTAAGATCTGAAAATTCAAGAAAAAATACAAAATGGAGTGTTCTAATACTAGTTTCCTTGTAACTGTAATGTTACAAGGCAAGTATGTACTTCCCAGGAAGTATGTAGTTCTGGTCAGACTGTGTTAAAATAAAATTCAGATTAAAGTTTAACAAGCTTCTGACAGAGCAGTGCTTACGGTTAGCATCACACCCCCAGGGAATTTTTGATGATATCAGCTGCAAAGTATCAATAATGCAATGTTACAAATATGAAAGCATTTTGATGACATTAATTCTGTTTTAGGCAATTCACAACGACATGAACTGTAAAGACTACCAAGATGATCTCCGTATCCGAGCAGAAAATGACCAGGCGGCCCAGAAAACCAAGCAAATGGTGGATGTAGGTTGAAGGTTTTTACTTCAAAGTAAATTGCACGAAACAGTGACACATTTTTAATAAAGTTTTATGTTACAGACCATGCTGCAAAATGGAGAGGCCATGAAGTGTCCTAGATGTGATATTATTGTCCAGAAGAAAGATGGCTGTGATTGGATCTGCTGTTTGATGTGCAAGACCGAAATCTGCTGGGTCACAAAACAAGCACGCTGGGGACCAAAGGTAAGTATTACTACAGTGCTACTACTATTTCAACCTAGTTTCTGTTGAATTTTGCTAAAAAAAAAAAATCTTCATAATCATCATAGTGACTAAAAGGAAGATTGAAAGCTAGATTTGAGTGAATTTGTTCAGTCACAGAGCTCCAAACCAAACCATAAAAAGTACACCCCAGAAACAAGCCTGTACATGTCCCATGAAGTAATACTATACAATGTATTATCGTTAAGAAAATGCATATGTTCTGGTTGACTAAAACTATTATGGATTTAGCATGGCATTTCTGTTCAATGAAACAAAAAATAATGAGCTGACAAAATCTGGACTAAAACTGTAAATTAGATATAAAGACAAAGACAAAGCTAAACTAATATTTCTTGTTAAAATGAAGACTGCATTTCTGTTGTGGATTTTGATTCCATTATTGCCTGCTTTGTTGATAATAGTTAGACAATAGTTCAATAATATAATTTTATAATCTATCTGATGTCTATTTTCAGTGACTTTTCAATACAAAAAACACAGTAACATGACTTATGATAATTACATGGACAGGATTTCTGTAATTCTCCTCGTTATTTCAGTATGAAGACTATAAATGTCCCATAGTATAATTTTTTTTTTTAAATCATGCAACTAAAGGCACTGTACCTGATTTTATTGAAACCAGAATTAGTTCATTTTAAACTAGTCCAAAATTATTCTTCACTTACCTTCCCCGAGACTAGATCAGAGTTTTGCTGTCTTGGTAAAGCTAATAACAATGAGTTTCCTGATAAGTGGACAATACAATGCAATTATGCAGTACACAGCTGAGATATTTTGACTTTAAAGGTGCACTGCGCAACTTTTCTGGTGGAGGGTCTGTCTCTTGTCTGTCTCCATGGAGATGTTTTTGCTTTGTCTGGAATGCTTCACACTATGGTATTAAACATTTCTACTTTCATAGAGACCAAACCAAGCCACGTTACATGTCAGATCTGCTCACAGTCAGGATTTTCTAGATATTTTTGAGCTATAAAACCACCTGTAATTGAATAAATGTAAGGTAGAGCTCAATGTCATACTGTGGAACATTACAGGCAGAGCAATGACATCTCCACAGAAACAAGCAGGTGACAGACTCCCAACCAAAAAGTGAAAAAGTGCACCTTTAAGAACTGCTTATACATCATACTGGACTGGGGCAAGACAAATTGTGCTCAGGTACAAGAAAAAAAAAAAAAGTGTACAAGGCCTTAAATGTGCCATAAAGTAAAGTGTGACAGCAGTTATATAAGATACTTGCATATTTATGATTTGGGGTAATAATGTCTTATGTGCATGACACACATAAATAAAACATTGCTACCATATTATATTAATCATAATCTTAACCAATGTTTTTGTTTTGTTTTTATTACAGGGTCGTGGTGATACATCAGGTGGTTGTAAATGCAGAGTCAACCAGCAGCCATGTCATCCCAACTGCCAGAACTGCCACTGACACACACATGCATAAACACACACACACACACACACACACACACACATGCACACAAACGCTGTACAGAGGAAAAACGCAGCATCAGATACTTAAACTGGGAAAAATGGCTAAGTCGTCCATCCTGTGTATGTCAAAGATACACTAATAATGTGTATGTGTTACCGTATGATTCTTTCATATTTGTCACTCACAACCATCACCACTGAATCACCTTTTGACCTCTGGATGTACAGTTAAAATACAGAAAATATGGTAGCCAGAGAAGACATATTTGGGGAGATATTTTACCACGAAAAGCATTACGTTTTGTTTTTTTTTAGTTTGTGTGTTAAATAAGAAATTGCAAATCTTTCAATTCTGTAGCGGTATCTGAGTTGTAAGAAACTCTCCAGTAAAATAAAAGTGCAGTATCGTCACAACATTTTGAGCTTCACTTACTGCTCTTTTCCTTTGTATGCCTGAAATAAGAGTTAATATGCAAAAAAAACAGATAAATGCCATTTTAAATTGTGATCTGAGGCTTGCTTTTATCTTTTTGTTAAGAAATGTTTTCAAAAATCACATTTATTTTTATCTAAGTATTAGTCCTTTCCTTGATAAAATCCGCTTTACTTTATTGTCACTGATAATACCTGTAGAAGATGGTAACAAAAAGAAACTTGGCTACTTTTTGACAAATTTTCAAAACTGAATTATCTGTTTTTGCACTTGAACTCTTCATCTGTATTTACTTCAAATTTTAATGTTAAGATTTCTCAAAAACGAAGCACAGCTGAGCCATAAAACGTGATGATACCAAGGTGTTTTTTTGGTTTTAACTCAGTTTTGATAAATACAGTCAGCCTACTGCACTTTTGTTGTTTTTTATATTACAGCATAGTTTGGGGTGCGTTCACATTTGCACATAGACCACATCAAAACTAGACCAGGACTAAAATCAAACTAGGACTAAGTGGTGACAAGTGTGAATTGTGTCAAAGCACTGAAGTAATGATGGCTTCTTATGATTATGTCAGTGCAGGAGACTATACATTCCCTTTTGAATATTTCTATGCAGTCTTGGGAAATAACAGGATTTACAGGTTTAGCGTATTCTGAGCGAAGTGTTTAAGGTGTTTAAGTGCAATCTGAATCGCAACTATGGTAACATAATGTAGCATACTGTGTTTTGAGCTTTAACAGATCAGGAAAATGTAGAGGCCTGACTATTGCCTCTATGATGGAACAAAGTGTTAATGTTTTATACGATGACTATTTTTTCACGATAATCACTAAATGGTGAAGGATTCTGTATAAGATGTTTACAATGAAGCGCAATGCTTGATTAAGACTTAAAAGTGCACTGTGTAGGCTATATTTTCTGCTTGTCTCTATTGAGATGTTAATGCTTTGCCTGTGATATTCCGCAGTGTAACATTAAACTAATCTCTAAACAACTGCAGCTGCTTTTGTGGTTAGAAAAAATACCCTGAAAATGTGCATTCCTCTAGTTTGCGGGCTCACCTCTTCCTGTAACTTGGCCTGGTAGCATTACCTGCTTGTCACCATGGAGACGGGCATGTTTAAAAAGCTGCATAGTGTGTCATTAAAATGTTGTTTTAACGCCATAAAGCTACAGCATCTTAAAAAACACACATCTTGTTCTCTCAAGAGTTTATGAACTCAACTTTGAATACAGTTACCAAAAAAATTTGTAAAAGTATACTGTATATATATGGGATTTCTTGTTAGACATTAAACATACAACTTAACATACTCCTGATTAATATATTTTTTGTGCTTATGGGTTATGTAATTTGTCTTAAAATGAAATCTGAAACTTGTTGAAATAAAATGAAAGCATTAAGCAAGTTTTGAATGGTTTAATTGTTAATACCCTGTACAACTATACACCAATAAAACATATAACAAAATAAAAGGCCAATACAAGTTTAGTGCATTCAAATAATAAAATAAAAAAGTGAGATGTAACAACCTTCATTAAAGATTCTATTGACTATTATACTTACAGCTTAAACCAGTGTGAGACTAAGGCAAAACAGATGAACTTCAGCATTTCAACGTCAACAAAAATAATACACATTAACTCGCAAGTGAACTTTAAAACTATTGTATTTGCCATGGTACGGTGTATTTGATCATTTAAGGTGTTCTGAACTACTGAACTATTGTGAAAGCTGACAGGTGGATATTAAAAATCTTAAATGCAAATGAAATGCGTGAATAGTAAGAACCAAGAAACAAAGGCGTAAATGTTTCAAAATGGCCTCCCAATTTGGAATGAAAGTTAAATCTGCTGTGTGTTGTGTGGATGCGTTGTAGACTTCACAGTATGAAAGCATTTTAAGGAACTGTATACAGCCTGAGCTCTTACTGTTTCAAAAAAAGGTTTTACAAGTACAACTGAACTTGGGTTGGGTTTCTTCATTCTCAGTATGTGGACAGCAAATGGTTAAGGAGCAGGAGCACTGATTAAAGAGGTGCAGGCGCTGGGGTTTAGTAGTGAGGATTCATATGAGAAAAAGCCATTTTAGATTTTAAACAACTGGATTTTAGCATTGAAACTGGCAATGAAAGTGAGAGACTCATTCTGCTTTCTGATTATACAATTGTCCTAAGAAACAAAACACCAAATGCATGGTAAATAGTATCCAATATTTTTCTTTTTTTTTTTTTTTAATAAAGACTAAATCAGTTGACGCTATACTTGATTTGAACATGTTTTACCTCATGTGGGGACAGATTTAGGTCACGTTTATGAAATTTAACATTGAAATCTTACATATAGTTCCTTTAAGGGTTCTATAACACCATAATTTTTTACTTTGTCAAAAAAAAAAAAAGTTTGTTTGCATTCACTGACTCTCAAAGTAATGCATTTTTCCACGTGAACTGAATTCAAAAAGTCTGATAAATGGTGAATTATTGATGTGTTTCCTGTAAACAAGATGCTAAAGTGCAGAGATGGTGCTTTGAAATGCTTAGCGAGACGTATGCGGTTTAAGTCTTCAAGAATACTACAACATGTGGCATTAATGTCAAGAAAGAAAGAATGGAGAATTGTAAGTTGAAGCATAATTTTCAGTTTTCAGGTCATGAAACACAGACCCTTTTAAGCAAGTGCAATAAAATATAATTTAGCATAATATAACAGCTGTAAATATTATATATTTCAATAGTAAGACTTGAGTAAACATGAAATGACAGCTTTATGATTTTGTAGTTATTACGCATTTGCCCAATTAGTAGCTGTAGTGTCTGTGTGTCATGACCAAACTTTAAAACAAAAAGTAAACAAAAAATATAACAAAGACAGAACTCACAAAATCCTCCATTTGGCTCTTATAGTAAAACTAACAAAGTAGGACTATACAAACACAAACCATTCATACTTAAAGGTGCACTATGGGACTTTTTGGTTGAGGGTCTCTCACTTGCTTGTTACTATGGTTACGTGACTGTTCTGCCTGTAAAGTTCCACAGCATGACATCGAGGAGCTCTACTTTGCATTTATTCAATTACAGTTTTTATTGCTTAAAATACCTAGAAAAACAGGCACTCTGACCGTGAGCGGGGTTGGCTCTCCACAGATCTGACCTGTAACTTGGTCTGGTTTGGTCTCCATGAAAACCGAAAGGTTTAATGTCATAGTGTGAAACATTGTCGACAAAGCAATAACATCTCCATGAAGACAAGCATTTGACGGACCCTCCGCCAGAAAAGTTACACAATGCACCTTTCACACCTCTGAAATGGCAGCAGTTTCAAGTCTAAGCAGTCAGCATAAATCTCTATAAGCATGTGTTATACCTTACATAAATAAACTTTGATCATGATACTTAGTATAAATACAGTCTTTTTCATAAAACCCCATCTCTTTCTCCAGCAGACTTTTGCTTGGGATCCTTAGATGTCCTAAAGGGGGAAAGTCTGTTAGTGTTTAGTCTTCACAAAACTGTCAATATTTAGACAATATGAAGTCCAGAAGCTGTGTTGATGAGAGGTGGAATCAGATTTGGTCAAATTATATAAAGTACAACATGATGTTATGTGTGTATTTTTAATTCTGTTTGCTCTAACAACAAGGCTATGCAGAGAAGTTTTGGATTTGATAGGTAAAACATCATTTGCATTGTGACCGAAGTCCATCCAAGTCACCAACATTAAACAGAGGTCAGTTGGGCTGGAACATTTTTATATAGAGGGTTTTATTACAAGACAACGCCTGTCATAATACTATCGACAGAGAAATATCAGCAAGGACGGAACTGAACTGGAGTCTTTGGTACGACGGTGCACGGAATGGAAAATGTCATTTGTAAACTAGGAAGAAGCACGAGTACACGACCGTGTGAAAAAAATTAAATAAAAATTTTTGCCACAGCATTAAAGCTACCATCTAGAATTAAACTGGATGACCCCTGTTGTATTTTTACTTATCACCACTAGATGCTGTCTACATTACTGCAGTCTGATAGTGTGACAGAAGAAGACCAGAGAGAGCACAGGAGAGCATGAACAAAGGCCAGGTGAGGAGAGGGGAGAGCAGCTTTCACAGCTGACAAAAAAAAAATCTAATAAAGTTGCAGATGGTAGCTTTAAGGAGGTATAACTACTGTGGGCTGAAAATGTACATAGTTTGACACAAATCTGATTCCATTGGGGTAAAAAGATTAAGAGTGGAGAAGTTCAAGGAAACAGGTCGAGCTTGGGAGCCCACTCCAGGGCAGTGTTGACCAGAGTGAGAGCAGCTGCCCCTAAAGCCACGGTCAGTCCCATGACGGCCAATCGGACAAAGCGCCGCGCTGCTGAAGGCTGAGCCACCGTCGCCACTGCTGTTGAGGGGGCGGGGCTTTCTACTGCCGCCGCCCTCTGTCTACGACGTCGCCGAAGAACCGAGTCTGGTCTTTGAGTCGACGCAAGCTCAAAGTCTTTAAAAGTTGTGGTAGCCATGCTTGAGAAGACAGACAAAGAAAAAGAGGGAAAGGGTGCATGTTAATAAAATAGTGATAAAGACAGTATGAAATAAAATGTGAATGTTGTTTGTGAGAAGAATAATTATGCATTGTGTAAGCATTGTTAATTCAATGCTAGGACTATATATAGTATAATATAGGTACAGTACCAGTCAAACATTTGGACACACTTTTCATCCAGTGTATTTTTCTTTACATTCACAACATCACAATATATCGAATATCAAAGTCAAAGTTATAGTGCAGCAATATAATTACAAAAACAGAGGGAACTCCATAGACCATGATCCTTTTCTCTGTTTCAGTGCCAATTATATTTTGAAACAACTGTTATAACCATTTTTAAATCTTAATTATTTGGTTTATGACAGAACTAAAGTCTTGTCAATGCATTTCAACAGAAAAAGTAGCATATTCACAATGTTAGCCTCCACAAAATATAGCAATAAATATCATGCCGTGAGATGTTTATCATGAAAATATCGTACCGACAGATTTGGATATCATTACATCCCTATGGCACACGGTATCGAATTTATGAAGAAAGTTATATGGAATTAAGTAAGATTTCTAGTCGAGGGTCCGCCACCTGCTCGCCTCCATGGAAATTGTATTGCTTTGTCCAGAACGATCCACAGTATAAATTAAACCTGTCTATCACAAAGGAGACAAGCAGGCTACAGCACTTCGCTACATTACAGTTCAGATCTGTGGAGAGTTGCCCCTATTCACAGAAGGAATTACTATATTTTTGAGCAATGAAAATATCAGGTAATGAATGTAAGAGAATTTAAGTAATTTATCTTCCAAGTACATCTCAGTTTAACACTGACTCACAAAAACTATATCTACACCATCATCTTCCCTTGGCATACCATTGGCATACCATGATCTAAACTGTGGCATATTGCTGTCTAACCAGTGTCTACTGGCCTTCATAGTCTCACCACACGGGCTTTATAAACCACCTCCTTTGCAAGCATAGTAAAGGGCAGGGGTCTCAGACTCGCGGCCCGGGGGCCAACTGCGGCCCTCGGAAGGATTTTTTGCGGCCCTCCACTTAATTCCAAAGAATAATGTCAGTGCAGCCCGCGGTAGATGTAAGCACAATCCCACCCCTCTATCGTGGGCCACACTGACAGATGAAGCTGCATTCGGTGCCCATACAGATTCACAACAACAGATTATTAACGCAGTTTACATCCCAAAACTCAACTTACAGCAGTTGTGAAGCAACGTGTCTAAGTGGATCTGTTAATACGAGTACACGTGCACATAAGGTGTTTTTTTTTTTCGTGCAACTGCTTAACCTGCTTAAGACATCCAGTTGGTCTCCAGCCTTTTACTTTCACCCTTTCTTGGACAAGTTGAAAACTTCTATAACAATGAATAAATGCTACATGGATATGTTTAATATCTTACCTTCCCTAGTGCTCCATGGTATGACAAGTTTATTTGTATAGTACAATTCGTAAATAAAGTAGGGAAAGGGAAAGCAATAACATCTCCATGGAGGCCAGCAGGTGGCAGACGATCCACTAGAAATGTTGAGCAATGCACCTAATACTTGGGCACCTTAAAATACTTAAAGGTTTTATTTTTTTAGATTTTGCTTCCTCAAAGTAACCACACTTTGTTTTGTTGACAGTGCTGCAAACCCTTGGCATTCTCGTCTTCATGATTAATGGCTTTCACTTCATAGGTGTGCCATGTCAGTGTTCATTAGTGAAATGCCAAGAGTGCAACGCAGTGATCAAAGCAATGAGTGGCTATTTAGAAGAATCTAAAACATAAAACATGTTTGGTTTTTTTTGTTTTATTTTCTAAATTCCATATTTGTTCATTCATAGTTTCGATGCCTTCAGTCAAATCTACTAGTAAATAATCATCATAATATAAAAAAAAGCATTAAATGAAGTGTGTGTTATTATTATTGGCAAAGGAGAAAATCAATTTGTTTACTGGACAAACGTTTAAGTTTCTGTAAACAGTGAAACTGGTGAACCATGAAAAAAGTAGGATGTTTCAGAGTAGTTAGCTCTGCCCTTCAGACAGATATATGGCAGTGTGCTACTTACATTTATGACCATTAGATATATTTGTTTGTTAAGCTGTTTGTTTAGCACGAGGGCAGGGTAAAAGTGGGGATAAAACAAATAAAACAAAACATAAATATTGTGTCAACTGTAACGTGTCAACCAAGAGTAGGCATATATATGTTTTCTTTTGTGTGAAACTTAACATAATAAAGTATCAATAAATAAATAAAGTAAATTAAGTGTGTCCAAACTTTTGACTGGTTGTGTACATTACTGAGGTTACTCATCACATATATTTAGAAACACTCACTTTGAACTACAATGGTATTACAGTGTTTTGGGGTCAGTCCATGTGATTTTGTTATCAATTGTGATCATCAAGTCATCAAAGTTCTGGTTTAGACATGGTTCAATCCTTTTGCTTGGGTCTACTTGTTCAGAAATGGTGGTTTAGTTTGTTTTGTTAATGAATGGAAAATGGCCCCAAGTCTTGTATTTACTTGGATAAACATGCAAATAAGTAAACAAAAAGGTTCAAATACCTGTCGTGGGAGACCACCTCTTTAGCCAGTTCAGAGGGCGGGAACTGAACAAACAGGTCTCCAGCCTGACTGATGAGAGTCTCATAGGGAAGATCCTGGGGGATCTGGGACAGCAGGTGATGGACCATGGCCATGTCACACTCGCACTCCAGTACTTCCTCTTCTCTGTACAGAACAATCTAAAGAGGAACAAAACAGGTCAGCGGAGGTAGGTAGAGTAGCCAAAAATTGGGCTCAGGTAAGAGTAACGCTGCTTCAAAATAATAACACTCAAGTAGAAGTACAAAGTTGTGGCCCAATAAATTACTCAAAGAAGAGTAAAAAGTATTTGTGATTTACTACTCAAGTAAGAGTAACTTGAAGCTGTTGAGACGTAACAGCACAATATGAGAAAAAAAAGTCAGTATTCAGTAACTATTTTTTTTTATTACGATAACGATATTATTGAGATATTTTAATATACTTCTTGGCAAAATAAATTCACTTAAATTAAAAACAATAATGACAAAACAAAGACCAATCCAAGTCTAATGTTAATAAAGAAAACTATCAATAATATCTGCCTTTTTGTCCATTTTACTTTCCAAAAAGAGTCACTTCGAGTCACTTGAGAGCTTTTAGTTGTTGCAGTACGTTTACTTTCTTACAGTATCGATTACTGTGTCAGCTAGTACTGCAATATCAACATTTTCGTTATATTTTGTGCAGCCCTATTAATGAGTTTCCTTAATTTCAAAATGAGTCTTGACTTAGTCCTGATTTTGTCTCTGTTATGTTTTTATTTTGACAGTTTCATTAGTACATTAAAGCATATATTTTGTTTGTTTAATATAACTTAAATGATTGAGAGAGTATTAAAATATTGCAATAATGTCGATATTGCAGTATATATCATGCTGCTCTAGTTTATACATAAATAAAAACTACATACATCTCCACAGAGCAATACTTACTACAGCAGCAAAATAGATGGGCATTAGAGGATGGCACGCAAGGAAGAAGTCATATAACCGCACAACGTGTCTGAAGTCTGACAGGACATGGCCAAACCAGGTTATCAACCAGCTTAGGGCAAAGACTGTGCCCACCTCTGACCTGAAAGAAGAAATTAATTAGAAAGAGCCTGTATGTTTAGTTAGTATTTAGTTTAAAATGTAGTTTTTGTGTGTTAGGTAATTAGTTTCTATTTTTTGCCCCGCCCACTTAGTCATTTCTGCCACTGTGACATTGCACAACAGAAACAAGTGTCATGCAATGCTTTCCTTATGGTTTTCCAATCTCTGCCTACTGTTTGCTTTTTTGTTACTCTTTAAAAGGCACAGTGATAGAGAATCAAGTGACTGGGAGAGTGTCAGACTGTTCTTTTTCCATGATTCTTGGTAACAATGAGCCTTGGTAACAATGAAACAGAAAAAGTGACCCTGTCAGTAGCTTCTGTGTTAGTTATTGCCTGTGAAAATACTATGTAAAGCGACTAGATTATATTTTGCCGTCTCAATTTAGGAACTTTTACCATATAATGCATGATGTAAAGAGCATTTATTATGACAAGAATAAATTAAAATCAGGCACAAACCTTTATATGCCCAATTAATTTAAAAGTGGTTCTAGTGGTAATCAATTCATGTCAAATTTGTTGCAAAATGTTTTGAAGTACACTTACTGCTGCATGAAATCATGAACCTCGGGGTTGACCCTATCGATGATAGGCATCAAATAATTCAGTATATGTTTTGTATTGTCCATAGTGGGGTCCATAAAGTCCCTGGAGGAAAGAAAATGCAGTTATTATTGGTGAGATCAAACAGATTAGACTAGGGGTGGTAGATATAGAAAAAATATAATACTACAATTGTTGTTTGAGTAATCTATAATTAACACTATTTTAAAAATCCATCAAACAAGAGTATAAAGGCATATTATGTGCTTCAGTGGTTAATTATATGGTTCATTCATGTACTAGACTTGGTTGAACCAAGACATTTACAGGCACATTCAGTGCATCCCTGATGCATTGTTAGAATACTGTCTGTCTGTCTGTCTATTTTTAAAACTTCTGTCAATATTGCCCACCTCTGCTTTAGACTAAACTAAGACTGCTAACACAAGGTACCTGAGGTGATGAGTGGACAGCTTTTCCACCAAAGCTGTTGCTCGCTGCTCTCCAACAACTAATAAAAAGGTGACAACGATGTCATGGTATCCCTGGTAATAGTGCAGCTGAGGGTTTCTTTTGAGCACTCGGAGGATGATGTCAATCAGCTCTTCCTGCAAACCCTCTCTCTGCTCATCGGGCATGCCTGCAAAAAAAAAGAAACCCAGACAGACACAAAAATGAGAAAAACTAAATCATTTCTGAAGGTGCAGTGACAACACAAATGTTCTCTTTACAGTGCACTATTCATTCAATCCACACTCGATGGTGGTAAAGTACTAATGTAGCCAGAGCTGTGCTGTGGAAGACTGATGGAAGCGAGGCTACGAATCTGCTCACACACACCACATTCATCCAAAGCAACGTGGGTGAAGTCTCTTGCCTAAGGACACAATGGCATTTTTTTTTCCACTGGCTCCACACATTGACACCTGGAATTCCCACCGGTCTCCCATCCAAGTACTGCCCAGGCCCTGCTTAGCTTCTGAGATCAGATCAGAAGATCAGGTTTTAGCAAGCTGGTTTGGCCACATAGAGCTTATTATTATTTAAATTGAGTTGAGGCTATGCTATGTCAACAGATAGAATATTTGGTAGGTGCAATGTTAAGATGACAAATACAGAAAGAACAGCTTACGCCCTGTCTTTCATAAATGGATAATATTTAACAATCATGGTTATAAAACTTTATGGTCCAAATATTCTATCCATATTGACTACTGACCTGAATACTGAGACAATATTGATTTACTGTGGAATATCCAAGTTTAATACAGAATTTAAACAGAATCAATACAGCTTTGGTTGGTTGCATAGCTAAACCAAGAACATGTAAGCTCTTTGATCACATGTAAAACTGCTGGATCACAAGGAAGACAAATATTACAACTTCCAATAATGAAATAGTTGAAACATCAATGAAGCCAAGGCACTGGTAAAAAAGTGAAATAAGAATGAGAGGAAAATCACTGCAGAGGTACATTTAAAAAGCAGTTGGATAAAAGATACGACAATGATTAATGCTTCACAAAACTCTCTCTAAAAACTTTATGACCCAGTTTCTCATAACTCCAGCAAGTCAGGGCATCATCTACTGTGTGTGGATACTATGAACATACACTCAAACCCAGTAAATATTTAACACTAGTGTAGATGTGAAATTAATGAATTAATTATAACAATGAATACATAATGTAAAAGGAAGAATATTAGGATTTAGTTTATTAGCTGTTTTTAAAGGAGCACTATGTTTCTAAGTTTCCTGGTGGAGGCCCTGCCCTCTGCTTCTCTCTATGGAGACAACATGTTTTGTTTTGTTTTTTACAGTATGGCAATAAAACAAGCAGGTGACACAACCAGGTTAAGTAAGTCAGATTTGTGTAGAGACACAGCTTACAATAAGAATGCATGTTTTCCAATTAGAAATACATTATTAAAAATTAACATCTGTAATTGAGTAAATGCAGGATGGATAAGTGTAATGCCATACTGCGGGAATTTCTAAGAGGCAAGCAGGTGCCATACCCTTCTCCAGAAAAAGTACATAGTACTGCTTTAAGTGTTGTATAAAGGGAGAGACACTAAAGGAATTTTAAAATGTTAAAGTTTAACTTACCAGGGGGGAACCTCCGCAGTGAGCGCTGTACATCCAGAAGCACCTGGTTGTAATCCTTGTTGTTTTCACGATCCACAGTTTCTAGGAAGTTGTGTTCCCATTAGTCAAAATTATAAACGCACAGGTGGGAGAAGTTGCATCTGTAATATTGTATCGACTGCAGTTTGTCTCTGACATGAACTATGCATTTAGAATGGATTTATCAAAGACATTTGCCAACTTCCGATGACCGTGATTGACAGGCTGATGAGAAAATAAGAATGGCAGTTTAAGGCCGCCACACACTACAGGATTTTTCAATCTTAAATGATTTTTAAATATGCGACAAAAAGCACACACTACAGACATGAAGAGAAAGAATCTTACGAGACTTAAAATCTCCAGTCGCAAAGCCTGCAGTGGGATATGGCTGAGTACCACAGGCTACACAGTTGTGAGCACGATCGTCATTTTCTGTAGTAAAATCACTCGTTTTAAGACTCTTAAGTGTTCAAAAGATCAGAACACAGCACTTCTAGTTTAGATACAAATGTAATGGGAAGGTTTTTTTTTTAACAGTTTCTGCTACTACGTGCAGTTATTCACAGTTTTCATTGTGCGTTTCATATCCTGTTTTAATGAGAGCTGCTCTCCTCACATATGTTTTGGGAGCATCATGACCCAGCACAGGCGCAGATGTTCCCTTTCTTTTGATAATACTTGGTTGGTATGTTTTGTGAAGTCTGACGCTATTTCAGACAGAGTTACAACCCTGCATTGAACAGACTTGTCCTCTGCCTATCTTTGCAAAGATATAACTTTTATTTTTGTTGTTTCAATGGATGTCTGTTATTTAAAAAGATAATTTTCCATGACACAAGTCAAAACTGTATTATTATGTGTGAAATGTGGTAAGCATAAAAGCATAAAAAATTGGCGATAAAGTACACAAGAAGTTAAGTCACTGTTGCTAATCTGCAGCTTCACCTCGATCTATGAACTGTGTGCATGTACAGAGACACACATGAGGAAATTCTCCTGTAGTGTATGGAGGCCTTTATGTGTAAAAACGAAATGGAAAAAAATAAGACAAAAACAATGACATTTTTGAGAAGAGATTGTACACATATGAGACAAATTAACAACTGTGTTTGGCACTTCACAAAGAATGAATGCTTGACCACTTCATGGTCTGATGAAGGAACTGACTCACCATGCAAGTGAAAGTGTTGCATGTTTATTTAATCATTAATAACTGTGCTGCTAATCGGTCTATTCAAAATGTTTCACTTCATACAGTTGCCAACAGAGAGCACCAGAAACCAAATTTGAGCATTTAAAAGCAAAATGTTGACAGACATATGTTACAGTTGCCTCACTCTGAAACTTTAGCCTAGTACCTGGCTCCTGCTCCAGCACATGAGGCGGCACGTTGAGAAGCCGAGGCCAGACCTGACAGCGGATCTCATCGGTCAGCAGCCCCCCTTCGCTGATGGCCATCCTCCTCAGAGCTGCTACATCCACGGGACTGGTGCTCAGAGCCTGGGTGATGTCCGCTATCTTCCTCTTCCGCTTGCTGTCGTAATCTAACACAAAAGCAAAAGTGGGTTAGCCTTAATTAAGCATGATATGTTTAGATGACGGGTTGGCTCGTGCTGCAGATTAGATTGTAACGATGTATGTCAACTAAAAAGGCATATTTAGCATCTCAAATGTAATAAACAAAGCACTGATCTGATGTGACGTTTATCAATCCACGTACCATTGCACTGCCTCCCATTCACGGGCGACGAGGGACCAGGACTTCCAGATTTCTCCATTTTCCGCCTCTTTCACGCAGTCAAACGCATATAAATTCGCCTTCCATTATTTTCGGAGAGCCTCAATTTACCCCGTTTCTAGCGACAAGCTGTTTGATTAGCCACGCTAGCAAGACACAGCCCTTTACAGCCAATGAAAGCGACATCATCTGCCATTTCAAATGCAACTACCATTCCGATTACAACTCATTCGCCAAATATGCAACGAGTAACAGTTCGCGAGGTGCTTAATATTGGATAAAAGATGAAAAAATCTACATGTTTACTTTGATTTAAGCTACGAATGGGAATCAGCGATCACTAGCCAAAGCACAGCACAGCGGACTGAATGATGACGTAAGAACGCAAGGGGCGGGGCCACGGAGGCCGGAAAAAACGTCGCGGTGCATTTAAGAGCTCCGAGAATTCTGAAACTCAATTTTGCATTAGTTTGTCAGTTGCTATTTTTAATTGCAAAAGTGCTAAGCTACATTATGGCTCTAAGGCTACACCCCGTTTATTCCAACTGACTGAGTAGACTGAAGCCAATTTATACATTAACAGACTACTAACTCAAATAGGTGCATAATGGCCTATAAACAATCACAAAATTTGTCAAATCCTTTTAAATTATGTTAGGAAACAGGTACATATTATGCAATCCGTATAAGTAGTTCTCCTGTTTTATATTTCATTTTCATGGAACATAAATACATAAACTAACTAAATACTCTATAATAAAAAAAGGGCTATTCTCCACTGTTTTGGTGTAGTTGAACAGAATATGTAGGCAAATTGTTTAAGGTTTAAGGTTTGCTTTAGGTTTAAGGTTTAGTACACCAAGCCCGACAATTTGTCTGTAAATAGAAAGTTACGCGGTGTTTCGGATTGTCATCTTGGGTGCGGAGCCTGATGATGAAACGAAACTGAAAAGTGCCCAGGCTTTTAAAAAGTGCTTTGCCATCAGCTGACGCATTCGCCTTCCTCGTCCGGGAGACGCCGGTCAGCACGACGAGAGCTGAGGAGGTAAGGATCATAATGATTAGGATATTTGGAAATTATTTGTCTTCTCAACTGGAATTAACAGTATTAGCGTACGGCGGTCGACCCATTTTAAAATAAATGTCTAAATCTGAGAGGAATCTTAATTTCATTTGTTTGTACTCATGATTATTATGGGCCATTCCATGTGTAACCTTGGCGTATAAAGACATTACAGTAAACATTAGATACAACTAGGATAGTACTATTTTAGATCAAATGAAACTAGACTTAGTAGGTTCTTTAGGAATCCACTAGAGGTCATCCTAGAGCTGCCCAAAATTGCTGCTTTTCAGCTTCAACATTAGTCTGTATAGATGTGGGCAGTTTAAATGAATGTTGTTATAATATAGATTTGTGTTGTAATACAGTGGGTTCTTGGGTCTAGTCAATAATCAGAATGATCAGGGTTTAACAGTTGTGCATTTACCTATTGGATATTTCATGGCAAAGTACAATCATCACATTCTTTCTAGGATCTGAAAACTACCAAATGAGTAGGCCTAAATCCAACATTTAAATAATAAAACATGTAAAGAGTCTATTTATATGTTTTTGGCTAGTAAACAAAACGTTGGAGTTATTTAAACATGACTGTCTGATATACTTTATTCCACAGGTCTATATGTGGTGATGTGATGGAGAAAAAAACAGGACACCCAAGGCGAGACAGTGGAGCTAAACATGGTGACTCGCAAAGTTTGCATTCCTGTTGTTGTTGTTATTAATATCAGCTAGTCTTATCAATTTTTTTTATGTTATTATGTCTTACAGGCAATGGACATACTGGGAATGCTAATGGACCAATAGGTAGGGGAAATGGAGGGGCACGAGGAAGAGCACCCCCAAACCGCCCCAAGCCTAGTCAATGTGAAACTGAAAAGAAACCAAATCATGGGCTTGGGGGAGGAGCTACAGCAGGTGCAGGAGGACAAGGCGGGAGGGGCATGGGGAGAGGGCAAAGGACTGCTGGAGCTGAGAGGAACCAAGACAGGGGCCGAAGAGATGGAGGCAGAGGGGGGAGAGGGAGAGGAGGGAGCAGGAGTCATAGTAGACCTGGAGGAGAGAGAGGGGCTGGTGAGTTTGGTGCAAATGGAAACGAAGGATGGAGGATGCAATGGCAAGACAATGGAGACAGAAGGGGAAGTAATAGCGGGGCAAGGAGGGCAAGTAGACCAGAGATAACTGAAAATATGGGGGACAGGAGAAATGGACCCAAGTCGGATGCTCCTAAAGTAAGCGGGCTAGGTTTTAAAAAGCTTGAAGAACTTTCTACAAAAGAGCCATCAGAAGTGGCCGTCTGTGTGTCCTCCCACCCGGGTCTGAAACCTCTGCTGAGTGAGTCTTACAATGAGGAAGGACCTGGTGGAGCTGCTGTGTCAGGTGCTGAGTAAAGCCTTCAAATCCCGAGCAGACAGGGGCACCCTGCAGCACCTGGCTGGGAGAATCAAAAACTCAGGCTTTCTGCGCACTGTCCTGCCACAGTACCTGGCAGGTGTAGGCTCTGAGTCCGACAATGCCCGCAGAGAGAAATATCCACAGCACCTTGAGAACATCGTGGCCATCCTCACACAGGTAGAGAGGAGACAATACACTTATGATTACAAAAAAATCTTTTAAAAGGCCAAAATTACAGTGCAAAATGGTTAAAGTTCATCACCTGCTAATTTCTTGGAGACAACTATGTAGCAAATGCTCCACCAAAAATGTTAGTAGTGTAGTGCACTTTTAAATCAAGACCTGAAACATGTACTGTATATCCATGCCCTAATTCACTGTATTTTTATACTATATTAGGTGCTTAGCACCTTCCCTGCCAGCTCAGTCCAGCCTGTGAGTCTGCTTCTGGCGCTGCTGCCAGTGGCCATCTGCAGCCTGAGGACTTCAGGAGTGGACGTTCCAGCTCAGATAGAGGCGAATATGGAGCATCTTGAAAAACTGGTCAGACATCTCGAAATCAGGTCCAGAGAGGGCACGTTACGTTCAGACAAGGATACATATGCCCTACTGCCCACTGATGGTGACAACCAAGGTAAACCATTATCTAGATTTATATTTTGCTACCTCCATACCAAATGCATGTGCTGTTGTGCAGATGAAGACCAGCAGGACTTCAGGACTATTCCCATCTACCCAACCCCAGAGGAGCTTCGACACGAGGACAGACCCTATCTCAGACCCAACCTCACCTCCCAGCGCTACCAAAACACCCATGTGTATCTGGACACACACTTTCGGCTGCTCAGGGAGGACTTTGTGAGGCCGCTCAGAGAAGGGATCCAGGAGCTGCTGCTACTGCAAATGAACCTTGGACGAATGGACAACCTGGGGCATCAAGTAAAGGGAAAGCGACTGGACGACATCAGAATGTATCATGATACAAAAGTGATAGCCCCTAAGTGCACAATCAATGGCCTGGCATATGTCGTCCAGTTTAATGTGGAGCCACTGAAGGTTAGCCTCAAATACAAAATTTCCTGAAGCAAATTAAACATATATATACATTTTGTGTTTCTAAATACAATAATTTATATTGTTACCCCGCAGTTTGTGCGCTGGCAGAATTCCAAGAGGCTGATCTTTGGTTCATTGGTCTGTTTGTCATGTGATAACTTTGAGAGCTTCCTCTTTGCAACTGTGTCAGATCGAGACCCAAAAGATCTCCAAGAAGGAAGAGTTCAAATCACTTTTACAGAGGAAAGCAGACATAGGCTGGTCAGGATTGAGGTGAGACATAATGATTAATAAACTTTTAAAAAGCATGTCAAGCTGAAGTCCTCTTCTGTTTCAGCAAAACCAAGTGTTCTTGATGGTAGAGACCACTGCTTACTTTGAAGCTTATCGCTATGTCCTGGAGGGCCTCCAAGAGCAGGAGGAGGGAGAGCTGCCCTTTCAGAGGTACACATACAGTATGTGTCTGTATTGAGTGTGTGGGAAGACAGGAGTGCTGCTTGAGTTTGTCAAGGTCATGTCTTCTATCTAACTTGGAAAGTTTCCATGAACTAGTAGTATGTGCAAGAACAAAGCAGTCTCTCATACCAGCTGTTCATTATAACAATTTTATGCACAAAGCAAACCCACGTACAAGTCATTAAAAAATAATACATATTTTTTAAATTTGTTGTATTTTACGTTAGGTACCTTGTAGACTGCAGCCCAGATGTGGACCCTCCAGCTTATCTGCGCAGAGCTGACACTTATGACCTGTCGTCTGTGGCCCACCCTGACTTCAAGACCAGAGTCAAGCCATTTCACTGCCTGGATGCAAAGGCCTGGCCCACAATGGAGGAGCTGGGGCTGGACGAGTCTCAGTTCAAAGCCTTTCAGTTGGCCCTCACTAAAGAGCTAGCCATTATACAGGGGCCCCCAGGGACGGGTAAGACAAACATGTGACACAGCAAGAAGGGCTTATCTATGAAAAATACATACCCATTACTTTTTTTTTTTTTATTTTATTTTTTTCCTTTTTCTTTTTTTAGGAAAAACGTATGTTGGATTAAAGATTGCTCAGGCTCTGCTGACCAACCAGAAACTTTGGAGGATTAATACTCCCGTTCTGGTTGTGTGTTACACTAATCATGCTTTGGATCAGTTTCTTGAAGGTAACAAATACACCATAGTATGGCATTATACTCTTAACCATGATTTGTTGAGCTCAACTCAGTAAATGGATAATAACTAAAAGTTCTACAACTTATTCAGCTGTAGCATTGTCATACTTGCCCTGTTTGTGTTTTATATGTTGTTAATTAATATAATCTTTTACTTTTCAGGTATCCATAAATTTCTCCCTGATGGAATAGTGAGAGTTGGAGGCCGCAGCAACAGTGAGATCCTGAAGCGCTTCAATCTGAGAGAATTGGCTCACAAAGAGAAGGGCAAACGGAATGGCCGCAACGGCCTGTCAGCTGCTTATAACACAGTGAGTATTTTGAGGATGGTATCATTACTTCACTCATACTGTACAAATGCAGTATTTCATTTATAATGTAAAGCATTATTTCACATTTTAATTAGAATTTAACTATTTGACAGATTTTTCGAGAGCTTTGTGAGGCTGAACGTGAGCTGCAGGTTCAGAGTATGCAACTGGAATGTTCAGTCAAAGGAGTCCTACGAGAGAATGTCCTGCAACGACATATATCAGCGAAGCACTGGGACAGTCTACATGTGGTTTATGTACGACTGAAAAAAAAAAAATAATAATATATATATATATATATATATATATATATACACACACACACACACACGCACACACACACACAGACACACACACATATATATATATATATATATATACTTTTTTCCCCCCTTTTCTATAGATGGATGGATTTCAAAGGAAGCTTGGCAAGAAAAACCTGATCATGGAGTGGCTGGGTCTTGGCGGTCTCTCATATGGACATGCAGTCAATGGTAAGGACTGATTTTGACATTAAAGTGTCAACAAAGCTGATCAAACAGTCATGTTATTACTCTAGTTCCTCATAGTACATACAGTGTTACTGTAAGCAGAGTTGCTCCTCCACAGAACTGACCTGTAACAGGGGCTGGTGGGGTTAACTGTTTGTCCCCATGGGATAGATAATATAAAGTGACTGTGTTTCAGATATGGACGTCGAAGCTGCTTTGGAGGAGCCAGAAGATGTCCTCATTGAGCCAGAAGATCTGCTCATTGATATTGAAGAGGAGGCAGATATGTTGGCAGCTGAGCGCATTATCGATGACTTCATTGATCCCAGAGCTGGAAGAAATGGACACAAAAAAGGGGACACGGAGCAGGCCCTCAGGGAAGTGCAGGACATGATGCTGGCCATGTCTCTGGATGAACCTGAGCCACAGGCTAATCCTCAGCCAATTCCGGGAATGAGTGATGACATTTGGGAGGTACAACATTAACCAAGAATCAGTCATCACTGTTAAAGGGGCAATATGCAACACCTGTTCTTATTTTGTGCACTTTTCTACATCACCATAAAGAGGCACTGTTCTAATTTCCTTTGAAGGGAGTGTCCCTGTCTGAAATTTTTACCTATATATGCCAATTTAGGAGTTGACACCCATATTTTATGTTGAGATACCTTACACATAATATACACTTTATTTAGGTTTTTGTTTTACAAAAATAAAAATCAGATCCAAACTGCTAATGCTAATGTTATCATGTCAGGATCATTTCTACCAAATTTTGTAATCCTGTCAACCACAGTATATAGCATTGTCTCAAAATATATTTATTTATTTGTTTGTTTGCTTGCTTGTTTGTTTGTTTGTTTTATTCATTCATTTTTCAAAAAAAGTAAGCCTGCTTCTATATTGTCTGTCCCCAATGGGAACTTATTCAGAATTTTCCACTAGCCTAAAAGGTCCCATTGGAATAGAAATATTTATAGGCCAAATTATATGTGAAATTCTATGATCAAACTTACAACATAGTGAATTATTTATTACTTGTTGTGTTTCAGTTGCAAAAGAAACAAAAGAAAAACTTGAAGAAAAGAATCAAACATGAGCTGCAGAAAAATTCTACTATGACTGAGACAGAGGAGCGCCGTATTACTAATATCTGGACACTGAATGTAGCTGACAAATGGAGACTTTATCGGTAAGCCAAAAATAGCCAGTAAAGGTCATCAAATAAATATACTGACATCTGCAAATCAGTGATTATTTCCAAAAACAGTCCCAGTCTTGAATCGTTCAGCAAAGCATTTATGGTATTTGTTTTTAATTGATGTCTTACTTTTTTGCAGTTTGTGGCTTTCCCGTTATAGAATAGAACTGCGCACCAAAACCTTGGATTTAGAACAAGAATATCAAAACTCAGTGGACAGACTCGCTGAAGTCAAACGACAACAAGACTGTCATATTCTTAGAGAGGCAACGGTAAAGTATGAGTATTGTAAAAAGTATCTTAGACCATCTACTAAGAAATGTGGTATTCTCACTAAATATAAATATATTTCTGTGAAACTGTGCAGGTGATCGGCATGACAACGACAGGTGCAGCCAAGTTCCGTCACACGCTGCAGCAGGTGCGCCCGTCTCTGGTGATCGTGGAGGAGGCAGCAGAGGTTCTGGAGGCTCACACCATCACCACTTTGAGCAGCGCCTGTCAACACCTCATACTCATAGGAGATCATCAGCAGGTGAGGTTTCATAGTTTTATATTCATACACACAATATATGTAATATTGTCACAGCCCCTGATGGTTTGAGCCTTAGATGAGGCTGTTTGGTCTGATGTCTCTAATTGGATTACTATCAGTTATATTGCACACACTATGCTCTGTTGCCCTGTCTGTGTCTTTTTTGGAAATTGTATTTTTGGAGGGCTACAAAAGGACAATTGATGTGTAATAAGGGTCATGGAATTTTCTGGAGGTGAGGGTGCAATGAACTGTGGTTGACAAATGTGCCAGGGACCTATAACCCTACTTAACCCTACTACCTACTTCATAATCTTCAAAATGTTTCTTGCAGCTGCGTCCAAGTGCCACTGTGTATGAACTTGCAAAGAACTTCAACTTGGAGATGTCGATGTTTGAGAGACTAGTGAACATGAAACTTCCCTTCGTCAGACTCAATTATCAGGTAGGTACTATCGTGGCATTATTGTGCCAATCCTATTATGTATGTGTTATTTTTATTGTAATTTTGGTGTCTAATTTAAGAATTTTTTTTTGTTTTTCAGCATCGCATGAGGCCTGACATTGCCCGTCTCCTGACCCCACACATCTATTCAGAGCTGGAGAACCATCCCTCAGTGTTACAGTATGAAAACATCAAGGTGTGTGACCAGTCCCTGTTATGACTTTCTATGAATTTTCCAGAACGCTTGACATTTAAGATGATATTAGGCATTTACAACAACACATGTTTTTCCATGTTTTACAGGGTCTGAACACCAACCTGTACTTTGTGGAACACAAATACCTGGAAGAAGAAATCAAAGATGGAAGAAGTCATCAGAACAGGCACGAAGCCCAGTTTGTTGTTGCTCTGTGTCGGTACCTCCTTCTTCAGGAGTACAAACCAGAGCAGATTACCATCCTCACCACTTACACAGGCCAGCTGTTCTGTCTGCGCAAACTCATGCCTGCTAGTCAGTTCTCAGGGGTCAAAGTGCACGTGGTAGACAAATATCAAGGAGAAGAAAATGACATTGTGTTGTTGTCTTTGGTCCGGAGCAACATGCAGCGTAGGGTGGGCTTTTTGAACATCCCCAATCGAGTGTGTGTGGCTCTGTCACGTGCAAAGAAAGGCCTCTACTGCATTGGGAACAGTGAGATGCTCGGCCAAGTCAAACTGTGGAGCAACATCTTCCACACTTTGAGGGAGAAGGACCAGATTGGCACAGCTCTGACCCTCTGCTGTCAGAATCACCCCTCTCGACAGGTCAAAGCTTCTGGTGCCACCGACTTTGAACAGGCCCCTGAAGGAGGCTGCACCCAGCCCTGTGAGTACCGCTTGGACTGTGGCCATGTGTGTGCTAAAGTCTGTCATCCCTATGACCAAGAGCACAAGGAGTACCAGTGTTTGAAGAAATGCCAGAAGATTATTTGTGATTTAGGACATCGCTGCCTTAACCTGTGCTACCAGAAATGTGGTGATTGTAAAGTTTTGGTGGAGAAGACCATCCCTAAATGCCAGCACAAACAGATGGTTCCTTGCCACAAGGATCCATACAGCGTTGTGTGCCAAGAGCCATGTCAGAAAACACTTGGGTGTGGACATCCATGTGATAAAGTTTGTGGGGAACCCTGCACCTCTAGGTGCAAAGTAAAGATTAACTTTAATCTGAAGTGTGGCCACAGCCAGAAGGATTTTTGTTGGTACAAAACACTGCAAGAGGAGCCATCCTGTACAACTCCATGCGAGCAACAGTTGAAATGTGGTCATCCATGCCGTGGTAAATGCGGTCGTTGCCACCAGGGGCGCTACCACTGTGGCTGTTCCCAGAAGTGTGAGCGCCTCCTGGTCTGCTCTCACAAGTGTCAGGCTCCTTGCACAAACTGCCCTCCTTGTTCTCGTCCATGTGAGAATCGCTGTATCCACAGTCACTGCCCCAGCCGATGTGGTCAGCCCTGCCAACCCTGTGTGGAGCCCTGTGCCTGGCAGTGCCCACACCAAACCTGCACCAAGCTCTGCCACGAGCCCTGTGACCGCCCTCCATGTAATGAACCATGTGATAAGACCCTGGCCTGCAGGCACCCTTGCATCGGCCTGTGTGGAGAGAAATGTCCAGACAAGTGTCGCGTGTCATCGTGAAGAGGTCACCGAGATCTTCTTTGGCTTTGAGGACGACCCAGAGTCTCGCTTTATTCAGCTACAAGACTGCGGACACGTCATTGAACGCAGAGCAATGGACCAATACATGGAGATGGATGAGAGACAGCAAGACAACCAGGAAGAAGTGGCAATCAAACTCAAAGAGTGTCCCAAGTGTCGCACACCAATACGCAAGAACCTCCGTTACGGCTCTCACATAAACCGCTGTCTGGCTGAGATAGAGCTGGTGAAGCAGAAGATTGCAGGAAATCCAGAAGACATTCATTCACAAACTTTGGCCTTAATGGTACGATGCACAGAAATCAAACACAAGGCAGTACTACCATATGAGTTCCGCAAAATAGAAGAGGAACTGCAAAGCCCTCCCCTCTCCGCTGTCGACCTGTGGGTCATTGAGAACAAAATGGACTTCTATACACGAGTTGCCAAGCTTCAGGTGATTGAAAGAGAAAAGATGTCTTCCTCTGAAGCTGCAGCATTTAAAGAAAGGATTCAAGAGTTTATGAACTGGCTCAAAGCTCCACAGCAGAGATTTTCAGAACAGCAGGTGTACGACTTGGACCGGGAACTACGGAGACTCACGCTTTTGGCTGAACTAAATGCTCTCTCCTATATGGCACAGCTTCGAGGACAAATGAGAAACATTCAAATGGAGGCACAAACTCTAGGAGAAGTTCTAGGAAAGTGTGGTCCGTTCACTGAAGATGATGAAGCAAGAGCCAAACAAATCATAAAAGAACTGAAAAGAAAGTCCCCTGACACTGGATTGGGGATCAGTGATGAGGAGAGGACGATGATTGTCTCAGCCATCCAAATGCCCGGTCACTGGTTCAAATGCCCCAATGGTCATGTGTATCTTATATCCGATTGTGGAGGGGCCATGGAGAGCCGCAAATGCCCAGACTGCAATGCTGTTATTGGTGGGGCCAGTCATAGGGTTGCTACTGGTAACCAGCTGGCCTCCGAAATGGATGGAGCACAAAGACCAGCCTGGCCAACAGCACTCGGACCACAGTTGATTTAAACTGAACTCTCTTATTTCAGATTGCATTGGGCACATTCTAACTGGCAGAAGTACGAATATTAGAGATTTAGTCTATTAATTATCATGCACTTGCAGTTACATTCAGTACAATAAAGTAGTAGGCTATGTGAAATGGTGGAAAAACTACTGGAAATCTGTACTCAAGTCAAAGTACAGTTACTAATGTACTCAGTTATAAGTATAAGTTTAAAAATCTACTCCTCTTCATTAGACTTGACTTTATGTTTTAAGTATGTAGCTCAAAAGTTTTTTTTTTTTTGTGTGTGTTTCTACATTTTTGTCTACTTAATTGTCTACATTTTTTAAAAGATGAACCAAAAAATAAATAAAATTAAAAATTAAATGAATGAAATAAAAAATGAAATATATAGACATCTGATTGCATATTTGTAATTACAAATTGGATGAACTTTGCTTTGAAAATATGTGTTGGACTGAATAATTTGTCTTTTATCCTATTACGTGTGAAATTCTAGTTGTTAGTATTGGTGATTTTCAGATACTAGAATGTGGATACTTGTGGGGCAAGAGTCAGATTTGACTATAGATTACATTGTACTTTGCCACTGAATGACTAAAAGCTAAATGCAAAAATATTGGGCCTTTGTTGGACCTGTTCTATTATTGACCAGAGCCTACATTGTTCTGTATTGCAACAAAAATCAGATTTTTAACAATAGTAATTTTAGCTGTTCTTGCCTGTATTAAACCGTGTGGACCTTTATAACCTTGTGAAACTCAGCAATATGTGTGTAATAACTTTTTTTTTAAATGAACAAAAAATAAACATCAAAACTGAAAATGTAATGTGTTTATCTGCTTGTATGTTGGTCACTGCATGAAATTAAAACTGAATATTATTATAGCATCCGATCAGGTCATGTTTGCAAATGACAAATGGTTCTCAAACAGGCAACAATAACTGTAAATGTCACAGGCACTTTTCCAGAGTGTAAGGTCTCTTAGGGTTTGGTTCAAAATTTTCCAAATGCCTAGTCTGACTTAAAGCGTTCAACTGGAGATCTCATTATAATCACATAAATGATGGATCACAGATACTTTCACAATATCAATTTGAGATATCTCTACAATAGGGTACAGCACGAAACTAAACGCTGCCTTGCTTTAAAGTGAACGTTATTGTACATTTGCTGGATTGTCACTAGAGGGCGCCATAAGTAAAATGTAAGTTTTCCCCTAAAAGGAAACTTAAAGATCCTTCAGGCGCAGATCAGCTATGGGAAAGATTTGGGATTGATAAAATAATAGGATTAGTTTGAGTTAGGTGCACTTCAAGGCAGCATTATAGCAGCTTAAAAGCTTATGTTTCCCGGGTCTTATAGGGACTGGCCATTTTAATCTTGGCTACGTAATTTCTTGCAAAACAAAACCTAAACCCCAATAATAATAAACTGTAGGGCGTGACGGCTCAGACACTGGAGCATCAAGAAGAAAACAACACGGACTGCTGCTCGTCAAACGTAAGAGAATTGCTGCAACTTTGGGTAAGGATTTATTATTATTATTATTATTATTATTATTATTATTATTATTATTATTATTATTATTATTATTGTGTGTATTATCTATGCTCATTCAAATATTTTAAATGCCTTAGATGTAGCCTACTTTTTTCCCGACAATTCCTAATTAAATGATTGTAAATTAGTTGGATTACCACTAGAAATCATAGCGAGTTCACGTTTTCTCTTAAATTTGCACAATGAATCTATGTAATTTAGTTAAATATAATAGTGGGATATCTAGGTCTGAATCTGCAAACAGCAAAGCACAATACAAAAAGCATAAAAATAGCAGCCAATCCAATAAATAATTAAAAAGAAATAGAATAAAAATAAATAAGGAATAAAATCAAGCTAAAACTATGGGCCAACCAATAAAAATAAGTCTTAAGAAGTGATTTAAAAGATGATAATGGTACAAGCCTTATCTCCTCAGAATAAATATAGCTTATTTACAGAATATTTTGCAAATGTAAGAAAATACAACTTTTTATCAAATCAATGTGAGCTCTTCTGGTGAAATGAAAGTGACTTTAAGTGTCACTGTAAATGTTTACCACTAGAGGGCAGAGAGGGTTTCTATTTTCACCTAAAAGGAAACTTATGGTCAAATGAAACATACACTCAAATATTACTCTTATGTGTGTATGATCCAACAATGTAACATGAACAAACAGGATATTAGTCTAGTTTATAAGATTTAAGATGGAGACACTTCTTATCTGTAACTCATCTCATTATAATTTTCATAATATTACTGGAGGCTATGTATTATCATTAGTAGACTATAGCTGTTATATTTTTCAAAAATCATATACATTCTGATTTATATTGGGATATTGTAGACTTAGATATAGCCTCTTGTGCTCCAGCAACATTTACACTGCTCTTCCCAGTCGCCTTTGTGTCTTAGTCAAAGGTCTCTGCAGTTTAACAGGAGGACAGGTCAGGTGGGGTCAGCAGATCTGTGTCAGGGCAGTTTGAGGAGAGGAGGAGTCAAAAGTGTCCCTCCTCTGTGTCCTGCAGCATCACAGCAGTGTCCAGTGGGAACCAGGTGAACATAACAGGAAAGGCGTCACTCTTACTCTGCCTTGTTGTTTCTGTTGATGATAAAATGGTTCACTCCCTTCCTTCCCATAGCTAGATCCTTAGCTATCCAGTCTCCAGGGATAAGGGAAAACAAACAGCTAATTTCACACAATACAGTGTGAAACAGTGTGTGAGCCAGATAGACACAAAAGCTACAAAAGAAGGTTCATTTCTTTCCTGTGAATGTGACTTATTTAGTATTACTTGCATTATACTTGTTCAATTTGAATTTTTGATATTGTTTGACAATCCTTGTGGTATACAGGTTTTGGCACCTCTACACACCTACTGCTAAATCACTTGTGTGATGGAGGGAGAAACAGAAGGGAGTGAAGAAGAACTTGGTGAGTCTATCGTAAAGTAACAGCAGCTCTACCCACATGAATTAGGGTTAGAAGATTAATCACAATCAAAAAAAATTAGCAATTTGAATTATTTAAGTAATATATTCCTCTGCAATAGAAAATGATTGCCTATAATTTTATATTTTTTTAATATTAGTTGTTTGATATATCTGGCCGATATTTGTGTGTCGGCTGTTGGCCTTAAATCTCCAGCAGAGGCCGATGTTTGCTCAACTAGCTGCCGAAATATGCATGAAGCTTTATTCCAAAAAGAGTACTGCAAAAATTGACTACACTGCTCTTTTATCCAGTTTGTAATAAAACAAGCTCATGAATGAGTTTGTACTAAATTCAAATGAGACCATTTGTGGAAAATGACCACAATCGGCTCTACATATTGCCCCAAAAATATCATCCATCAGTTTCTCTGGATCAACATCGGCCATGAAATAACCCACATTGGCTGATCTCTAGTAGAATGTGTAAAATAGTCCTTTTGGTACTCTTTAGTACCAGTTTCAAATACAAAATAAAAACATAATTAAAAATGATTATTATTGTAGCAAGCATGTTTGAGTGCTGCAATTGACCATTTTTCTTTCACAGGCACTGGCCAAGTTAATGAAACTGGAGTGTCAGGAGGGGAAAGTTCAAAACTGACACCAAGAATCGATGACAAACATGAAAACAACAGAGGAGAGGAGGAGGACGAGGCCACAGTCTCTGATGAGGGAGAAGCACATGGGGCATCTGCGGTAGGACTGGTCCAGAGGGGCAGAAGAGGAGGAGATAGAGGCAGGGGGTGGAGGAGTAGGGAAGACAGTAGAGACAGTTGGAGAGGAGAGTGGAGTGGGAAGGAGTGGAGAGTGAGAGGAGTGAACGATGATTATGAGAGAAGAGGAGGTTTCAGAGGGTTTAGTGCAAACAGGAGGGGGAGCAGACGAGCCTCTAGACGTCCTCAACAAGACAGAAGTAGAAATCTAGTCAAGATCTTAAATTTTGGCCAAAAGGAAACTGCTAAAGAAAGTACTCTAGACTATAAAAAGCTTGAAGAACTTTCTACAAAAGAGCCATCACAAGTGGCTGTCAGCGTCTCCTCCCACCCGGGTCTGAAACCTCTGCTGAGTGAGTCTTCAATGAGGAAGGAGCTGGTGGAGCTACTGTGTCAGGTGCTGAGTAAAGCCTTCAAATCCCGAGCAGACAGGGGCACCCTGCAGCACCTGGCTGGGAGCATCAAAGACTCAGGTTTTCTGCGCATTGTCCTGCCACAGTACCTGGCGGGTGTAAGCTCCGAATCCGACAGTGCCCGCAGAGAGAAATATCCACAGCACCTTGGGAACATCCTGGCCATCCTCACACAGGTAGAGAAGGCAAAACACTTACGATTACAGTATATACACTACCAGCCAAAAGTTCAGACACACTTTTTCATTTATGTTATTGTTATTTTCATCTGTTTACATGATAGCTTCTCACAGAAGGCCTTAAAACTATGAATTAACACAAAGGGAATGTAGTAAACAGCATTAACATTTGAAAACAGCCCCCCTATGTTTTTATCAATGATTTTGACAATTAACAAGCCTTGACCTCCTGGTTTTCACTCGACAGACTTAGACTTAGACTTTGAATGTTTTCTAATTATTACCTGGGTTGTTGGGATAGCACCTGTGCTATATTTATCACAGTTTCATGTCAGTTAAATGGCAGATTGTTGAAAAAAAGTATGTATACGTATGTCTGTCTATCCTAAAATATAAACTTACCAATATTAAATAACTGCACTTTTAATATGTTAAATGTTGCTCACTACATTTTAGTGAAAGCAGTTAACTGTTCTAACCTGTCATGTGCACTTAATTAACTGTGTAATGTTCTGTTAATGTAAAAAATAAATAAATAAAAAATGTCTATGTACAGGTGCTTATCATCTTCCCTGCCAGCACAGTCGAACCTGTGAATTTGCTCTTGGTGCTGCTGTCCCCATCCATCTGCAGCCTGAGGACTTCAGGAGTGGACATCCCAGCTCAGATAGAGGAGAATATGAAACATGTTCAACACCTGGTCAGACATCTCCAAACCAGGTCCAGAGAGGCCACCCTGCGCCCACACAAGGGCACTTATGCTCTACTGCACACTGATGGTGAGTGACCTTAAATATGACATTTTGTGTTTTTGTTTTTGTTTTCATTTTTTTGTAAATCATGCTTTTTCATTTTATTTATTATGTTTTATTATTTATTGCATAGTAATAGAAATAGGTCTGTTAACATTCTGTTCAGAACTGCAGAACCGATATAGTGACATTTCACTGTAGTAAGCAGCCGATATTTATTGCGATAGATAGACACTTTCTTGATCCCAAAGGAAATTAAAATGTACATTTTTTTTATTGTTGAAAAATGGCTATGTAACATTTCTAAACCCTACATGTATGGCCCAAAGATTTCTTGAATAATCACAAGGAAGTATAGAAAAGTAGGTAAGGATGAGGGTTAGGTAAAAAGAGGGAGTTTTTGAGCACTCAAACCTCAAATGCCATACAAGATTACTCAAACATGCATGGATCTATCAAAATACAAATTTGAGTAAACTAATGACGAGGGACCACGATGGTTAAAAACTTATGAAAGCCAATTTTACAAAATCTGTCCCCTTTAGGATAAACTTTCCAATCTACTTCATTTCTATAGCACATTTCACACACACACACACACAAACTGTTTCCAAAGTGCTCCACATAGAGAAATTTAAAAAATACAGTTTAATCCAATTAAAAACATAATGAAAACAACAAAGTAAAAACAAGTAAATAGAACAGTGAGCATTTTGACTAATTTCCATTCTCCCACAATAAAATTTAAATCTAAATTCATTATGTTATGTACAGACGAAGACCAGCAGGACTTCAGGACTATTCCCATCTACCCAACCCCAGAGGAGCTTCGAGACGAGGGCAGACCCTATCTCAGACCCAACCTCACCTCCCAGTGCTACCCGAACACTCACCTGTATCTGGACACACACTTTCGGCTGCTCAGGGAGGACTTTGTGAGGCCGCTCAGAGAAGGGATCCAGGAGCTGCTCTTGAGCCAAACGGACAACCCTGGGAATCAAGAAAAAGGAAAGCGACTGGACGACATCAGAATATATCGAGATACAAAAGTGATAGCCCCTAAGTGCACTATCAATGGCCTGGCATATGTCGTCCAGTTTAATGTGGAGCCACTGAAGGTTAGCTTCAAATACAAAAGAGGCACATTCAAAACAGTTGTCATTTTTTGTTTTCTCAATTTCATACTCTCACCTTACAGTTTGTACGCTGGGAGAATTCCAAGAGGCTGATCTTTGGTTCATTGGTCTGTTTGTCATCTGATAACTTTGAGAGCTTCCTCTTTGCAACTGTGTCAGATCGAGAGCCAAAAGATCTCCAAGAAGGAAGAGTTCAGATCACTTTTACAGAAGAAAGCAGACATAGGCTGGTCAGGATTCAGGTAGACAATGTTACTGAATTTTGAACAAACAAACAAAAAAAACCTTTGCAATAGTAATTTGTTTTGTTTTCTATAACACAGCAAAACCAAGTGTTCTTGATGGTAGAGACCACTGCCTACTTTGAAGCTTATCGCTATGTCCTGGAGGGCCTCCAAGAGCAGGAGGAGGGCGAGCTGCCCTTTAAAAAGTATGAATGTGACCACATTTTTGGTATCTTTTAGCCTTTTTTGTGGTACAGTAGCCCATGATAAGGATACTGTATCACCATATTTACTATCGCGACATATGTCGATACTTCAACATTTTAGCACACCTCTTGTGTGGATGTTCAGTTTCAAAATGGCTGAATGTCTAGAGACATGAACTGCTCAGTCAGTTAAGAGTTAATGCTTTAGCTGTGTGGTTGCAGGTATCTTGTAGACTGCAGCCCAGATGTGGACCCTCCAGCTTATCTGCTCATAGATGACACTTATGACCTGTCGTCTGTGGCCCACCCAGACTTCAAGACCAAAGTTAGACCATTTCATTGCCTGGATGCAGAGGCCTGGCCCACAATGGAGGAGCTGGGGCTGGACGAGTCTCAGTTCAGAGCCTTTCAGTTGGCCCTCACTAAAGAGCTAGCCATTATACAGGGGCCCCCAGGGACGGGTAAGCCAAGCAAAATGCTAAATGGATTGTATTGGTAGCAATGTAATATAATGAGACAGTATTTTTTTTCAGGAAAAACCTATGTTGGACTGAAAATCGCTAAGGCTCTATTGACAAATAAAAATCTTTGGAAAACTGCAGCTGATAAAGCTCCCATTCTGGTTGTGTGTTATACTAACCATGCTTTGGATCAGTTTTTAGAAGGTAAGCCAATCCTGCGAGGATGTCACTGTCATAATTATGAAAAAATATTGACATGACTCCATCGATATGTTGTTATTATGATCTCTGATTTTGTTTATTATTGTCATCTTTGAGGTATCCATAAATTTCTCCCTGATGGAATAGTGAGAGTGGGGAGTCGTAGCAGCAGTGAGATCCTGAAGCGCTTCAATCTGAGAGAACTGTCCCTCAGATATGACTTCAGAGAAAATGACCTGATAGTTGCACACAGCACTGTAAGTTTTTACTGGGACAGAGGTTTATGTCAGAAGATTTGTTGTGTGAAACTCAAGTGAAAAGATTAAATTACTCATTTTAACACCTGCTGTAGAACTGGCCAATTACTGTCATTTGGATTGGCACAATGGCCTTGTTCATTATATACAGATATACATTTGTCGCATGTTTTGGATATCTGCTTGCTGGTGTGGCAGAGGGACATCATCTGAAATGTGTCCTATGGCAACGCAAACTTGGGCTGGCACTGGTGACTCTATAGTTTTTGATATAATAGTTATTAGTTATAGTTACAAAATAGTTGTTTTGTAAAGGCCTGCTTTCTTTGTCTTTACAAACTAGCAAAAACTGCAACTAGTAAAACAATAAATTAATAAACAGTAATGAACATCAACAGCTGTAGATTTAGAGGTATTGTATGATTACCACGTGTAACTGAAGAGTAACTAAATGAAGCTCCTAATCATAATAAAAAGAACTGACTTATTTCCAGATTTCCAGAGATGTTCAGGAAGCCGAGAGTGACCTGGAGGACATGACCCAGATCCTGGAGTGCACTTTTAAAAAGTTGCTGCGTGCCAGTGTCCTGCAGCGTTTTATGTCTGAGCAGCACTGGGAATGTCTCCAGGCTGTAAGTACACAGTGTCTGGAATCTAACACAATATCCTGCTATGCTAACTAAACATGAAACTAATACTACATTGAATTGTTCATCAGAAAAAGGAGGTTTTTGAACATACTGGGAAGAAATCAAGTGTGATGAATGAGTGGCTGGGCTTAGAGGGTCTGTTACAGACTGACGGCACATCAAACCAACAAGGTAACAGCAAAGGTAAGATCACGGTTTAGATAACTTGCCTATAAATCCTTAGCTTTACATCCAAAAAAATTGATTGCCATGTCTTCATCCTTATATTTTCCTATATATTCTTTAAGCTCTAATATATCAAAAAACGTATATCAGTAAATATTAATACTCATGTTTTCCCATAAAATGTCTTGCTTTTTCTGTAAATTAGAGGTTCCATAGTAGATTGTACTGATGAAATAATAACTCACCAACAGTGAACCACAGTGAAGGAGAGATCCACTCCCCTGGACGGGCCAGGCTGCAGCTGTGCTAAACCAAAACTAAACCAGGACTAAAACAGGACTAAACCAGGAGTGAACTAGAACTAAAGCAGGGTTATGCTGGAACTAAACGATTACCAAACTAGGACTGAATCCAGGACTGATACACATCCATTTGCAGATAGTTGAAATCTGCAGGGTCCACTCAAGCCTAAGGGACAGAGGGGGCTCATCCAGGTCAGGTAAAGGTTATTCAGCACATGATCAGGGCACAGGAGGGGCATGTAAGGGCATCTACAGTCTCTATAAGGACCACTGGGCAGTCAGCAGACAGGCAATGAACAGACTACAGGTGAACTGAATAATGAAACCAAAAGCATATGATATACTATTTTCAACTATTTTGTATTTCAGACATTTCAGCGGTGAAGCAGCCAGAAGAAAGCCTCATTCACGTAGACGAGCAGGCAGTTCTGCTGGAAGCTGAACGAACTCTCGATGATGAGATTTATGCCAGAGGAGAAAGAGGTTATCAGAGGAGAGAAAAAATCCAAGAGGAATTCAGGACAGAGGCAATAAAAGTTCTGGCCATGTTTTTGGATGAGCCCAAAGTAGATGAAGAACCTGAAGGAAATCAGGAGAACATAGAGAGATGGGAGGTATGTATTGTGTATGGTTAAACTTCCTCTTGGGTATTCTCATAATAGATTCATTAGGGTTGTCAGAAGTATTGAAAATCACATACTAATCAATACTAATGTTTTCTTTATAAATATGAAAGATGCTATGAAAGGGTAGGCCTAATAAGATTAATCTTAAACCTAGAGCTTTTCTGTTTACTGTGTCTGGAATAATGGGAGAATATATCTGTGACCGAAATAAACAAATCAATCAATCAATCAATCTGAATAACTTTAGAATAATCTTGAGCTGTGCTACTCCTAGATGGGACACATGGTGTTTGAACGACTGTAATGATTTTAGAGAACGTATTTGACACCACGTGCTTATTTCCCGTCTTGCTCCTGCTAAAAAGCCTGGAGACGATCCACTGACGCAAAAAAACAACAAGTCCAACCTAATTTGAGCGGTGCGTAGCGCCCATGGACCAATATGGAACCTGTCTGGATGACTGAGGGATTACACAGATAAAAATCCTTTGTTAATATAAAAGCAAGTACCATTATACAGTGTTTTTTTTTTTTAAATCATCATGGTATCAGAAACAGTACTGAGTATTGTGTCTATTCCTTAATATCACATTTTTTTTATCGCAGCAACACAAATTAATTGAGTTTATGGGTTTGAACTTCTGTTTACTCCTCACTTTGTTACTGTGTCATCTCTCTATTTGCTTCTTACTGTTGTTACATTTAAAATTTTTAATTAAATACAATAGTTTAAATTAAAAATGTTAAAATACTCTCTCTCTCTCTCTCTCTCTCTCTCTCTCTCTCTCTCTCTCTCTCTCTCTCTCTCTCTCTCTCTCTCTCTCTCTCTCTCTCTCTCTCTCTCTCTCTCTCTCTCTCTCTCTCTCTCTCTCTATATATATATATATATATATATATATATAAAATAGGCAGGATGTTGAGTTGCTAGCACTCATGCTTCAGACCAAGAAGGTTCTGGGTTCAATCCCCGGGTTGCAAAGAACAGTTTCCCTGCAGGGATAATAAAGTCTTACAGTACAATACAATTCATGAATAATAATGTTTAAATACTTCTACTGAAGGAATGTGAATGCATCGTTGGAATTTCTTATGGAAAGCCAAACAAGATGAATAAATGATTTCACCATTTATTGTTACTGTCTTAGTATCAGCGTGAACAGAAGAAAAGGTTAAAGAATAGAATAAAACAAGAGCTCAGGAAGTCTTCAACCATGACCAAAGAAGAGGAGCACCACATCACCGATATCTGGAGTCTGAGTGTACCCAACAGGTGGAGACTTTATCGGTGAGGTGTTGCCAATTTTGATTTATTGTTTAATTTGGTTGTCCAAATCTTTTCCATATTTCCATATTCCATATTATATTATTTCCTCTCTGCAGACTGTGGACGGACCGCTACAGAGCTGAACTACGTACCAAAGCCTTTCATTTAGAAGAAATATACCAAAATGCTGTTGAGAGACTTGCTGAGGTCAAAAGACAACAAAATCTTTGTCTTCTCAGGGAAGCCACGGTAAAGCACAACTTGTTTCTGAAAAGGTTTACTGCTTGATATCCATCTTATCCAGTGCTGGTTAGTATTTGGAGCTGCTGGTTAGTATTTGGAGACCACTGGGAATACCAGGTGCCACAATGGGGCAGCAGTGGCTCTAATAGATACTGCTGTTGTGTCCTTAGGCAAGACACATCACCTACTGTCTAATATGAATGTAATGTGTGAGTGTGGTGGTGGTCGGAGGGGTCAGTGCTGGTCAGTGATTGGTAACCTCACTTCAGTCAGTCTGCCCCAGGGCTACTGTTGTTGCAGTAGTAGCTTTTCACCACTGAGGGCTGATTGAATGGATAATGCAGTGTAGAGCATCCTTGTGTGCAAAACGCTCTATATGCATACACTGCACTAGTATTATTTTTACAATAAAGTCAGCCTTAGCTCTTTCCTCAAAGCTCACAGAATTTTCTGTGACTGACCAAGAAAGACCTCTTTTACAAAACCCATATAACAATAGAAAACTATAAGTAATAAGATAAGTAAGAAAAACAAAAAACAAAAAAAAAAACCAAGCAGCTTAGTCTACAGAACTTCATTCATGTTTACGTCTCCTCCTTGTGTAACTACTGCCCCATGCAAACAAACCATTTGGACCCATCCATATCCCCACTCTGTTTTCTTGTATGAAAGCACAGAAGTACAGAAGTACCTGGCTGAGTTAAAAATGAAATATATAGAGAGAGATAAAAGAGAAGTGATATGCCCCCAGGTGATCGGCATGACAACGACAGGTGCTGCCAAGTTCCGTCACATGCTGCAGCAGGTGCGCCCGTCTCTGGTGATCGTGGAGGAGGCAGCAGAGGTTCTGGAGGCTCACACCATCACCACTTTGAGCAGCGCCTGTCAACACCTCATCCTCATAGGAGATCATCAGCAGGTGAGTCACAGTCAAGGAAAGGGGAAACTTGTGCAATTCATTAACACTAAACCTATTAGCAATGTTTCAGTTTATGTGATGGAACTTTATACATCATTGTAGGTAGTTCCACTCTGTAAGCCTACTTTTGTGGAAACAGACTGATGGTTTCTTCAGTGGCAGTTTATTACATATCAAATTTTCAGATTTTTAAAAAATATTGTTTTAGTTTTAACCTGTTAATGTGAGATGTGACAACAAATATTTCTTGCAGCTACGTCCAAGTGCAACTGTGTATGAACTTGCAAAGAACTTCAACTTGGAGATGTCATTGTTTGAGAGACTACTGAAAATGGAACTTCCATACGTCAGACTTAATTATCAGGTACTATCATGCATTTCAATATTGTGCTAACTTTAGATGTATTTTTGTTGTAATTTTGGTAACTAATTTGAATATGTTTTTTTTTGTTTTTGTTTTTTCAGCATCGCATGAGGCCTGACATTGCCCGTCTCCTGACCCCACACATCTATTCAGAGCTGGAGAATCATCCCTCAGTGTTACAGTATGAAAACATCAAGGTGTGTGACCAGTCCCTGTTATGGCTTTCTATGAATTTTCCAGAATGTTCGAGAGATATTTTACTTCTATGGGGTACTGATTGCTAACACATAACATACTTAGATTACTATGTTCCCTTTTATTGTTAAATACTATATTCAGTTTTCATTTCTGAAATGAGAGTTTGCTCCGCACACACTCTCCATTCGGAGTGCTATCACAAAACAGTCACCATGCATCATGAAACTACTGCATCAGGTTTGTGAAGTTGTAGTATTTTATCTTGTATCATACTTGTTTGTAGTTATGAATTGCTGTGCAAGAGCATGTGTGACATAGTCTTGTGGGCTGAGTTGTGGAAAGGCTTGTATTGCTGTCTGTAAGGAGGTTTCGAATGTGAAGAGATTACAAGAATACTCACACATGCATAGATGACATATAAAACCCCTTCAGGCATGTATTTTTAATGAGGGAACAACAACTTTAAACAAAGCATTTATAGCAACACACGTTTCTCCATGTTTTACAGGGTCTGAACACTAACTTGTACTTTGTGGAACACACACACCTTGAGGAGGAGATCCAAGATGGAAGAAGTCATGAGAACACTCACGAAGCCCAGTTTGTTGTTGCTCTGTGTCGGTACCTCCTTCTTCAGGAGTACAAACCAGAGCAGATTACCATCCTCACCACTTACACAGGCCAGCTGTTCTGTCTGCGCAAACTCATGCCTGCTAGTCAGTTCTCAGGGGTCAAAGTGCACGTGGTAGACAAATATCAAGGAGAAGAAAATGACATTGTGTTGTTGTCTTTGGTCCGGAGCAACGTGGACCGCAGGGTGGGCTTTTGAGCATTCCCAATCGAGTGTGTGTGGCTCTGTCACGTGCAAAGAAAGGCCTCTACTGCATTGGGAACAGTGAGATGCTCGGCCAAGTAAAATTGTGGAGCAAAATCTTCCACACTTTGAGGGAGAAGGACCAGATTGGCACAGCTCTGACCCTCTGCTGTCAGAATCACCCCTCTCGACAGGTCAAAGCTTCTGGTGCCACTGACTTTGAACAGGCCCCTGAAGGAGGCTGCACCCAGCCCTGTGAGTACCGCTTGGACTGTGGCCATGTGTGTGCTAAAGTCTGTCATCCCTATGACCAAGAGCACAAGGAGTACCAGTGTTTGAAGAAATGCCAGAAGATTATTTGTAATTTAGGACATGGTTGTCCACTGTTGTGCTATGAAACTTGTAAGAAATGTAAAGTGCTGCTTGAGAAGACCATTCCTAAATGCCAGCACAAACAGATGGTTCCTTGCCACAAGGATCCACACAGCTTTGTGTGCCAAGAGCCATGTCAGAAAACACTTGGGTGTGGACATCCATGTGATAAAGTCTGTGGGGAACCCTGCACCTACGAGTGTAAAGTTTTAATCAATTTTGATTTGAAGTGTGGCCACAGCAAAGAAGATTTCTGTTATTACAAGAAATATGACAATAAGCCAGTTTGCAGAGAGCCATGCAAGCAGCAGTTGAAATGTGGTCATGCCTGCCCTGGTGACTGCAGCCTTTGCCACCAGGGGCGCTACCACTGCGGCTGTTCCCAGAAGTGTGAGCGCCTCCTGGTCTGCTCTCACAAGTGCCAGGCTCCTTGCACAAACTGCCCTCCTTGTTCTCGTCCATGTGAGAATCGCTGTATCCACAGTCACTGCCCCAGCCGATGTGGTCAGCCCTGCCAACCCTGTGTGGAGCCCTGTGCCTGGCAGTGCCCACACCAAACCTGCACCAAGCTCTGCCACGAGCCCTGTGACCGCCCTCCATGTAATGAACCATGTGATGAGACCCTGGCCTGCGGGCACCCATGCATCGGCCTGTGTGGAGAGAAATGTCCAGACAAGTGTCGTGTGTGTCATCGTGAAGAGGTCACCGAGATCTTCTTTGGCTTTGAGGAAGACCCAGAGTCTTGCTTTATTCAGCTACAAGACTGCGGACACGTCATTGAACGCAGAGCAATGGACCAATACATGGAGATGGATGAGAGACAGCAAGACAACCAGGAAGAAGTGGCAATCAAACTCAAAGAGTGTCCCAAGTGTCGCACACCAATACGCAAGAACCTCCGTTACGGCTCTCACATAAACCGCTGTCTGGCTGAGATAGAGCTGGTGAAGCAGAAGATTGCAGGAAATCCAGAAGACATTAAATTACAAATTTTGGCCTTAAAGAAACAATGCACTGAAATCAAACACATGGCAGGAGTGACAAGTGAGATAGCAGCCTTATTGGAGAAATTAACATACGTTAACCACTTATCAGTATTTCATCTGTGGATTATTGAAAACCAAATGGACTTTTACAGAAGAGTGGCCAATCTTCTAGCAATGACAAATAAACACAGTTTACTAATGTACTATTCATTTCGAAGTGAGTGTAGCAAGTTTCTGGATTGGCTCAACGGTCCGAAGCAGAGATTTTCAGAACAGCAGGTGTACGACCTGGAGAGGGAACTACGGAGACTCACATTATTGGCCGAACTGACAACTCTTCGCTATACGAAGCAGTACAAACTAACAAAGGAAAAGTCTGAAGTGGAGGAAAAAACGATACAAGATGTTCTGGAAAAATGTGGTCCGTTCACTGAAGATGATGAAGCAGGGGTTAAACCAATGTTAGAGGAGTTAAAGCAGAAGTTCCCTCAGACTGGTTTGGGGATCAGTGATGAAGAGCGTAAGATGATTGTCTCAGCCATCCAAATGCCCGGTCACTGGTTCAAATGCCCAAATGGTCATGTGTATCTCATAACAGAGTGTGGAGGGGCCATGGAGAGGTCCCAGTGTCCTGATTGCAAAGAAACTATAGGTGGGAGCAACCACAGCCTAGAAAGAGGCAACCAGCTGGCCTCTGAGATGGATGGAGCACAGGGACCTGCTTGGCCAACAGCACTCCAGCAATTGTTCGATTAAACTATTTCTCGCTGGTTTCTTACAAGGCTGTGCCCGGCAATCATATATGCTATTTTTGTATTTTATTAGTGTGCTGTGTAATCTTCAGAGCTGGGTAGAGTAGCCAGAACCTTCAGTCTGTTAAGAGTACTTCAGTGTAGCAATACTTAACTAGAAGTAAAACGAAAGGTCTACTATAAACTATATGGAGAGTACTTACTACAATATTTAACTAGAGATATATTCTGGAAACTAATTCCAATTCACTCAATTCATATGGTCAACATAAAGCTTATATTGCAAAGAAATATATGCAGTTGGAGTGCTCGCTTGGAGGGCACCGCTAAATCAGGTAACAATCAGGTGCTCTTTGGAGATCCCAAGTGGGCAAAATAATTTACTAGACGAAAGAAGAGATCCGAGGCATTCCGATATGCTTTGCTTTAATTTTATTTCATGTCAAACACCGATGCGTTTCGGCTTGCATCTTCATCAGGGCACATCTTAAAGCTTATATTATTATATTAAGTTATATTAGCAATGTCTTTACTCAAGAGTACTGTTGCTTGAGTTACTGGTTTTGTAGAGTAAGAATAAAGTATGGTTTAGAAATATCTCTATGTAGGTATTCTTATCACATTATACTCATGCATCATATAATGCAGTAATGCAAACTCTTACTCTGTTAACGGCTGCGTGTTGGCTCCAAGGGTAATAGGTTTGTATTATCAGAAAATTGCTCTTTAATTCACAGCTAGGTGCTTCATCAGCCAGACAATTTAGACATTTTCACACAGTATCTTTATTTGTTGTTGGTAGTACTAACTTAAAGGTGCATTGTGTAACTTTTCTGATGGAGGGTGTGTCAAATGATTTTCTCCATTATTGCTTTATCTGGAATGTTTCACAGTGTGGCATTAAACCTTTCTGTGTTCATGGAGACCAAACCAGACCAAGTTACAGATCCGATCTGTAGAGAGACAACCCCACTCACAATCAGAATGTCTTTTGTTTTTTTTGTTATTGTTTTTTTTTTACTTTTCATGAATTGATAATGTTGTTATGTGTGGGATGTTTTAACATTAATTATTAAATGTGAGAACTTCAGTTCCACCTACTTAAATAATCAAAAAATCCACTTTTTGTAATTTTGACTTTTAAATTTGACTTTTGCAATTTTCTTCATGACCTAATTGTGTTAAAAGCACTTTGTAAAGTTCACACACAAAAAAAGTCAAGACTTGTGTAGCGCTGCATATCAACAGCAGATGGCAGTATAGCTACACGTATAACATATAACTTCACTTTTAACATTTGTCCATGTAAAATTGAAATAAAAGTTTGCATGGTTTACATTGTTTTGGCTATTTTCTTTCACACAATTTAATAGTTATCTGGGAAGAACTCTTTAATATCTTTACAAGGCACAAGCATGGAAACTGGCTTTGTCTTCTTTCTTTAAATTTCAATATATGTAGAAGTTTTGTTTTGTTTTGTTTTTGCCAAGTATTAAAATGAGCGAACTTTAAACTGTTTTCATAGCCACAGATCTGGTCTAAAAGAAGCATTCCTATCGAGGATTGACAATATCTCGTCAATCAGTGTCTTCAAAATGTTTTATTGCTCAAAGACTTTACACATCTCAGTTTACGCTTGCTATAAGAAGTATATATCTGTTTAACACCGGCTTTGCTGTAGCGAACACATTTTTGCCACATCTACAGGAATAAAGATTGCATCATGTTAAAGTTTTGCCAACTGGTGTGTCTGTATGCAAAAAACATTTGCTAGAGGTTTAATTTGCCACAATAGGTGAGGAAAGTATTTAGCAGGTGTAGTGCAACATTTGTGTAGAATAATGTGATGTAATATTAGCCTTAAACTTAGACAAAATGCATTGTTCCAAAAGTGAAAATATCTAGACAGTGTGTGCTACAAACCACTGTAAGATGATCTTGTATCTGTCATAGTAAGAGTCAGTTACACTTGCAAGCGACAATGAAGGGCCTTTAACTCTGCTAAACCTGCTGTTTGGTCATGTACATTATCCTGGAATTATGAAATACAATGTCTACATAAATAATAGCCAGTTGAGCTAGTTGAGATAATTTTGTGAACAAAAATGCTTTAAATTACAAAGTATGAATTATTACATTAACTTTGGTGTTTTTAAAGGTGCATTGTGTAACATTTTTTTCTGAAATGTTTCACACTATGGCATTAAATCTTTCTCAAATCATGGTTATCATCTGAAATCCTCCAAAACTGCTATGAAGCTAAAACAGTAAAATCACTTGAAATTTATTGATGTTTTGCACCTTTTGGAAGATATAATTTCCTTTTTATTTATGACTCAGTTCTTTACATACAGCCAATCACAGACAAGTTTCACAAAGCTAACTGCTGCGTGTTGGCTCCAAGGGTAATAGGTTTGTATTATCAGAAAATTGCTTATTAATTCACAGCTAGGCGTTTCATCAGCTAGACAATTTACAGACTCTTTCCCCCCATATAGCCTTTTTATTTGTTGTTTGAAGTACTAACTTAAAGGTGCATTGTGTAACTTTTACAGTGGAGAGTCTGTCTGATGATTTTCTCAGTGGAGATCCTTTATCTGGAATGTTTCACAGTATGGCATTAAACCTTATGTTCATGAAGACCAAACCAGACAAAGTTACAGGTCAGATCTGTGGAGAGGCGACCACGCTCACAGTCAGAATGCCTCTTTTTCTTGGTGTTTTTGACCTATAAACAGTAATAAATATAAGGTAGAGCTATTTAATATCATACTATGGAACATTCTGAGTAGAGCAATGACATATCCATAGAAACAAGCAGGTGATGAACACACCAGGTAAAGTTACACAATGCACTTTTAAGTAATGTGTAAAGTAAGACAACTGGCGGACCCAAAAATGCAGACAAAAAGAAGGATTTATTAACAAAAATAGTCTTGGGGGGAAAGTGGGTTCCAGGGAGGGCGTCAGGACGGGTCCAGGAAAGACTCGGACTGATCAGAGGTTAAAGGAATCTGAGGCAATTGTGATGAGGCTGGCTCCACCTGAAGGTTCTGGAGAAATGACAAATGAAAACTGGTAAGTATATAGAAATCTTCAACATTCACAAGAAAAAAAAGAGAAGAGAAAGCCTGAGTATATGATCACCACTTGACGAAGGAACAATCTGGCACTCGAGAGAAGGTTAGCAAGTCTTCTTTGACAGGAGATGATTGAGTGATGAGGATCAGAAGCGGAGCTCAGAAGGTGAGTGAATTGGGATACGCCCAGGAAACTCCAAACAAGGTATGGAGAGAAGGGGAGAGGAAGCAGGAAAGGAGGGGTAGGAGGAGCAGGATGAAACCCTCACATAAAGTTTAGAAAAATGTCAGTTTACACAGTTTGGAATTTCTGATTTATTACAATACAGCTATTATCACACATAATTATAGGAAAAATAATTACTTTTGCATTTTTAAGTAATATTTCCTACATTATTATGACAAGAAAACTAAAAGAACAACCAAAACTTAAAGGTACTGTACCTGCTTTTTGGTTTGCAGTGGTCCAAATTATTCCTCACTTACCTTATGCATTCAAAGCATCCTAACTATTCACCCCTTTCACAACTCTCAGAGGCAAGAGCGGAGTTTGTCGTCATGGTAAAGTTAAAAACAGCTAGCAATCTAACAGACACTTTCTAATTCTTGGACAATATAACAACCTCAAGAGCTCTACTGGGGCAAGATGATTTTCTGTAAAAATGGTGTACTTCAACTAGGGGTGTAACAATGTAATGTGAAACGATATTCAGTACGATGACATCTCACGATATTTATTGCGATATTTTGTGGAGGCTAAACAGCTAAAACTATTAAATATGCTACTTTTTCCTCTTAAAATGCCTTGACAAGACTTAATAGGAACTTATATGTAAAAGTGCATAGAACTGTTATTTCTTCTTGTACTCGATCATGGTTTGTCTAGTTCCCTCTGTCTTTTTTAGCTATTGCTGGACCATAACTCTTAAATTAAGCAAAGAGACTTGTAATTCAATATACTGTGATGGTCCACAATATTATTTTGAGAATTTTGACGATACGATATCATGATATTTCGGTTATTGGTCAGACTGAGAAATACCTTTGCTGGAGGATTTGACCTCTTGTGCATGTTTGGGATTCCCTCGACTCTTTCATTTCCATAGCGACGGAAGATCCTATGGGCCTACTCTTCTAAAATCAAGAAAAAACAACACAAGAACGTACAGCAGAAATAATGTCATGTCTACGTGGTGGGGGCTGTAAATGATTGACTGATGTGTGAAGTGCATCAGACCTTCTCCAGGAGGAAGAAGAGAGACAGACGCGAGCAGAGTTTGATATGAAAGGAATGAAATAGCTTGACCCAGCCTCTTATACTGAGGGGAACATATGAGATACCACTATGATAGAGACACACTGCACACGGAACAGGCCTGATGGAAAAGATGGAAAAGTCTATAGGGGAAGATGGCGGAAGAAAGAGAGTTCCAAGTTCATTGGAAATAAGTGACAGTATTCGGTACGGTGAGATGATGTTACGAAAATGTGACACAGGAAGAGAAAAAAATATATATAGAAAGACCTTTTGAAAGACCTTTAAACAATAAGTTTGCTTCTATCAACCTATCTTCTTGGTCTATCAAACTTTTCAGTTTATTAAAATTTAGTTGGTTTAGATTCTTCATTATGCTAAAATAACCTTAGCATCATCAAAAACATATTTGGAGTTGTGTTTTGTTTCATTCACACATGTTTAACACACAAACTCTGCATATTTAGCCTGAGTTCTTTTCCTTCTGGTAATACAGGAAGCGCTCCACCATGTTTTTAAACTTCACCTTCGCTTGAATCATTTGGATAATTTGAGCCCTGAAATAGCCAATTTCTACTAAACAAAAGGAGCTGTTAACTTGAAAACTGCCTCTTCATGACATCACAAGGTGGTACAGAGCATTTTGAGCTTTGGACATAGAGACAAACAAACATGAGAATGAAACAAAACAGAACTCCACGTGTGTTTTGAAGAGGTAACAACAACTATAGCTTAAAATTCACAAGCTTTCACAAGAATTCATAAGAACTTTGCGTAATAGAACCTTTATGAACATACATGATATACATGACGTAAACACAGCAGACTGTATCTATGGTCTTATTTCCTTATTTCCTGCTTTCACTCCCACAAACATACACCGGCGTACAAGGACACTTGAAGAAAGCCGTTGGGCATGTCTTGCCCATGGAAACAACAACAGTATGCACCAATCTACTGCCACAAAATTGCAGCACCTGTGGTCTCCTACCTAAGTACAAACCAGACCCAACCTTGCCGAGCTAGTTAGAAGGAATTTGTCTCTGTAAAACACCAGCAGAGGGTGCTAGTACTAGCCTGATTCAACAACTGGTTTCACTTCGTGGAAACTGTCTGATCTCGCAGCATTAAGATTTGTTTGCTCGACAGTAGACAAGTACTTTTTTTATTTAACTGATCGCTGCTATTTAGTCATGATGTATATAATGCTAACTGGTATATTAAGCTTTTCCCAAATCCCCTGGGAAAAAGGGCAATAACGGCCCTTGATAAAATTCACCAAACATTTTCTTTGTTCCAGCTTTAAAGTCTTGATCTCTGGAATCATTGCCAGCACAGAATGTACGGCTCTTCGCTGATTGGCCTGTGAACGAACTCGCACTTCCGGGGTTCTTGCAAACCATCTAGTGTATTCCAATTCCTGACCTAGTTGCTGGAGTGAAATGAAAGTGAGCGGAGACACTAAGTGACGCCAGCCTGGCTACGCTAGTACTGCATCTCCTGGAAATTTGAAAAGTGCATTATGAAGGTAATGTGAAGATTTTAAAACAGTGAAGTGTATGGGCTTTAAAAACAAGAAAGAGCTTCAAAGGTGCACTATGTAACATTTCGGTTGGGGGCCCATCACTTTTTTTTCTATGGATATGTCATTGCTCTGCTTCAGTATGACATTAAACTGCTCTACCTTACATGTGTTCAATTACAGCTGGTTCTATTGCTCAAAAATACCTAGAAAAACAAACATTCTGACTGTGAACGGCGTTGCCTCTCCACAGATCTGACCGGTAACCTGGCCTGGTTTGATCTCAATGAAGATAGAAAGGTTTAATGCCATACTGTGAAACATTTCTGACAAAGCAATAACATGTGCATGGAGAAAAGCAGGTGGCGGACCCTCTACCAGAAAAGTTACACAATGCATCTCTAAGGTTTACTAGGTGAGGATACATTACAGAAGCATATATGCTCTTTAAAGATAAGAAATTATAGTTTACGGTCTTG